AATATGCAAAGAGAGGAGGAGGAGAACTGAGGGATGGTTGAATTCACGCAGCAGTGTGATTGATATGGCTTCGACTTAGTTACTGACAGGCAAAAGTTTAGTGTGATAAAGGCCGCATAAGTTTTCATTAGTGACCCCCTGCCGGTGATGCGTCTTTAGGACAGAGATATTTTTGTTTGCAGACTGCACTAAAAGAGACATTTGGCTGTCAGAGTAATGCTGCAGCGTCTGACCCAAGTTTACTTTTGGGTCACGTTCCCTACCATGGATATGAAAACAAACAAACCAGGCCATTACCAGTGACGGGCGGTTCTCTTACTCTCTTTACCCATACCTCCCGCTCTCCTCTTTCACGTGTCTCTGAGCTTTTAAAGGATTCAATTAACCTGAAATGAACTAAGGAATCAAGCAAACAGATAGTGCCTGTCTTCCCGTCTCTGCCCCATATTCAACTATTCTCCACTCCAGTTCCCTCTTGTCCCTTCTGCCCCCTCCAGTTATTTCTCATCTTCCTCTTGCTTAACTCCTTTATTTTGTTTGTGCAACAGTTTTGCGAAATACAGTAGCAAGGGAAAGAATAAGGATCCCATGCTGAGGTAAAAAAAATAAATACATTTCAATGATAATGATAATAATAATACTTCCACTACTATTACCACTACTACTACTACCACAGATATTAATAATAATAATAATGATAGTAATAAAAATAAACATCATCATCCTCTCAAAGGAATACACTGATCAAAATGTCCTGTGCACATGGTGAAATTAACATCCAAACCTGATCTGAAATCTACTCAGATCTTCTCTGAATATCTGAATTGCCCAGAAAAGATTTGATAATTGTTCAACAAAAATCTGATAACTTTGCTTTTTTGCCTCATTGCTGTGGCTCTTGGTAAACATACGAAAACAAGCCCAAGACAATAAACCTACAGCCACTGTTCATTAACTTAACATAATGAGCACTTTATCAGGGTAATTTGCTCTGCTAATTCTGTCACTTTAGGATGATTACAGTAGTTTGGAGAAACCCTTGTCTTTAAAGGCTCATACACACACTGACTGTGGCAGAGAAGCAACAAAGGGATGAATTTGTAGGCTGGTTTGCCGAGGGTCTGGACACCAAGGAAGTCATAAATGCTATTTAACTGGATCTGGAGTTATAGCCAATTGCAAAATGGCATGAGATGCGAGAGGTGCCAAACCTCCCCACCACAGATTATTCATTTTAAACAAAAGAAAGCAATTTCATCTAAAAATTAAAAACATTTTTGGAAACTAAAGTAATTTTAATGTAATTTCCATTACATAGACCATAAACTTAATGAGGAACTCCTCCAATTTTATACATGAAAATCTGTTTACGAGTGTTGTTGCACAACTGCATATGTGAATAAAGTTGTAAAAAGCCTTCTGTGCCTCCAGGGGGAGCTGAGTGAAATCTGATGAACTGCTTCAAGTCACTTGAAGCAGGGTCAGTCGGGTCTGAAGACTAAAAGTTTCAAAATGAAACAAAATCTGAGGGTGTGGAGTTAAGGCCTCGACACACTAAACTGACATCAACAAACCAGTGGTGACAAACGCTGACTGTTGCATTGTCTCACGTCACCTGTCTTGGCCAAAAAGTTGCACTCGAACATGTTGTGAAGACTACAACCAACAGCCAACTAGCACAAACTCTCCAGAACCAGCAGAAGACAATGGTCTGTATTTCGTTATTCCAAAAAGGAAACCGGAAACAAATGACGTATTCAAGATCCCAGCTAGCCAGTTAGCACATTAAGAACACATCTTAATTTTGAAAGAACAAAGGACATTTACCTTGCGCTAGTGAACAATAACAGAGCCACTTACGAGTTGTTTCTTTTAACAAGCTCAAAAGGCAAAAAAGTGTCTGTTATTCTCTCATGCCTTCTTGACTTTAGTCAGATGGTTTTTCTTACTTCCGTTTTTCTTCTCATGGACTAAGCTAAACTGCCAATCACAGTGATTTCGTCCCACTGATGGACTTTGCCATCACTGATGACAATTCAACATACTGGATCAGCCAAAAAAAGTGCTGACAGTGCGAGACAAACTGCAAAAATTACCAGGCTTATGTATCTTGCTCTTAATCTTTTATTAAGGCTAAGCCGCATTAGCCGCTACTAGCATAACACATGTGAATGTCTGACTGAACAGTCAGTAGTTGAGTTGCCTTGTGGATAATATGGCTGCCAAATTTTGACAAGGAAGAAGAATTTAAAAAGATGACAACTCTGGTTCTGCTGTATAGGTTCTGATAATTTTTTTCTACTTTCCACCATGTTTCCGACAATGTAATAGGGCACACTATATGTGCAGAACAATATTAGACACTGGAGGAGCCTTTTAACAAACAAATCTGAGGCCTGCCAGTACGCAAGTAAACAGATGGTTGTGTAAGTGTGACTGGTTCTTTTGTATTACTGTGTTCATTTTTTTAAAAAAAAATAAAAAGTGACATTTTTGCCTCAAAAATGGGCTTTTGCTGTAACTCGAATTTGTAAGTTAAAACAAAGCATCCTTGTAGGTTATCTTTACTCAAAATGTATTGTCAAGACTTTATTAAACTAATAAAATTAAGCTGAGATCACTTATTGGGAGAAGTAAGCAGAATGCATGTTAGGTTTTCCATATTTTGAACTCACATTGTTAAGTTGAAACAAGTTTCAACACAATCAAGTGAACTTGCCGATATCAATCCAAAGCTAAACTAAACTCAGCAGATTAAGCTCAAACAACTAATAAATGCAAGTTGATTTGACTTAAATATTTAGGCAGCAATTGAAGTAAGTATTAAAGTTAAACCACCTGATTTATTTTTGCAGTGTAGCTTTGTACTTTGCCATTTATTTACATTACATATTGAAAATGCTCAAATATTTGACTCAAAAATCACACAGAAAAATTAAAGTTTTCTTTTGCCACAGTAATTACTCATGTAATTTTATGTAATAAATATCCATACCCATGTAACATCAGATATTGAGCACGATAAACCAGCTATCCAGCTGACATACTGTCACAACATAAAGGCAATACACTTGTGTTCTGTGACGGAGGCAGCAGACACACCTCAGCCCTGCTGACAGCCCACAGCCTGACTCTGTGGTGCTGCATAGCTCAGCACAGCTGTCTGTTGTCCGTTTCTTCCAATCTCTATCTCTTCCTGCCTCACTCCCAGCTTTGTGCCCACTCAGCATGATAATGATATACACCTCTGCCTGGTCATCTCTTTGAAACTCTGGTCCCCTGACACAACTCAAAGTACGACAGTGAAAGCAACATACAGGATGTATCTGTGTACTTCACATAATATGCAGATCAAACTTTGGTACTATATACGGAGAGTGTGGTTAGGCATGATGCTGGACATTGCCTGCCCTTGAAAAGAAAAACAAAGACAGAGGCACAATCTTCAGCTTTAACCTTAAAGTTGAGTTACATTAGTAAACAGTCAGAGCTCCCTCTATGGGGCAGTATTTTTAAAGGGGCACGCTAAGATTACTTATGTCAGCATTTCAGCTGAACACTGGCACCGTGTTGACACGCAGCAGATGAATATTAAACCTTGAGAAACAAAGATGTGCTTGAAGCAAATCCCTGCATAAATATTTTTTTCATATGTACACACACATGCACACACAGACGCTCGCACAGTCTTGAGCGTCCCTCCCAGCAGGCACAATCACACTCAGGCAGATAATTCAGTGTCACAGGGAGCCTTGTCGCTGACCCTCTGGCCCCCTCCAGACAGAGGAAGCAGCTGGACAGGGACCCACGGCTGCCTGGAACTCACTTCCCCTGGGGAGCTCTAAGGAGAAGAGTCCCTCTATGCCTCGGAGAATGACCAGCTGAGCTTCCACAGCTCAGTATGTGAATGTGCTGTTATGTCCCTGTGTCCAGGAAGGTCTGAGCAGGATGAGCAGGCCTTAGGAAGGGGCAGCAGTGCAGGCTGATGAAAAATATGATATCACAACCAGCTTAGTTTCCCCCTCTGGTCAGAATGCTGGAGAGTTGTTGCTTTTCTAAGTCACAATGCCATGCTCTAGGCTCTCTAGAGACAGAGAACAATTTTTCCTGTATGTTTACTCCTAGAAAAACCCTGTTAGAAACCTGGTTAAACGTATATATGACCAAGAACTTAGGTTTCTCAAAAGTAGCTGTGTTTACCAATTTCCTCCTCACCCAGATAACAGAGACCACGTTTACATGATGTTCAGTTACTACAGAAAGCTGACAATAATACTGTGTCTTAAGTGCATGTAACATACTGAGTGTGTGACTCTGGTTTGGCTCCATATACACACAGACACACAATGTTTTCAGTGGTGAGTGAGGCCCTTACTAAGTGCTTATTAATATTGTATGGTTAAATGGGAAATGTTAACATTTTTTTCAATTGCCTCGGCAGCCTAATGAAATATTAAACAATAAGAGAGCTTTTGTTTTACCATAATACTAAGAAAGGGTAAACATGAAATTTATAATATCTTTTTTAAGGGAATGAGACATGTCTTTCCTAAGGTCACAGATTAGAGATTTAGGTAACTATCCTTGTTTAAGGCACATGTACAACTGTCCTGCAAATGTGTGGTTTAGATGCATTTCAGAGCCAATTAAATGAAACCACAAGTAACCATTCTAGGATATGTACTGTTGGGTATGATTTAGACTTTAATGTGTTGATTTAAAACTTAATTATTTGTGTGTTTTATTACTGCAGGAGCACGATCAATGTAAAACAGCATAAACCACTTTTCCACAGCTCCACAGAGACACAGCTTTGCTTGCTGCTCACACATTGCTGTTCCTATAGTGCTGCACAGCCACAGCCAACACATTGTAAGCCCCAAATGACAAGTCCTAGTCAGATATAAAACAGTATAATTAATCTATAGATGTATGACTGCATGGTGTTTCTCCCTTTAAAATACTGGCCTGTTTAAAGAATAACCACTCTTTAAAATACCATTTTAAATAAATATCAGCTTTATTCAAAAATGATTGGGAAAAAAGCGACGCACAGTACAAACAAAGTGAATGAGTCAGTCTGAGTCTGAGTCACTCTGAGTTTTAACGATCCGTCTGGTTGGGCTTTCATTGAGGGTCCCAAAACTATGCAGCGGCCAGAGCTGTGTGGGATAAAGAGTACAGAGAAAAACAATGGGTTAGAAGAGAGATAAGACTCACAGAAAAATAAATAAGGGACTTCTAGCTATTAAGTCCAACACGTTATCTCACATCTTGGACACGTTCGCTAATGTGGCTTTTAGTGATGTGTTTGACTACATAGAAGATCTTGTTATTTCATCAGCTGTCGTAATAGGGCCTCCAGTGGAGTGCCGCTGTCCAATCAGATGGACAGAAGGTTGGTTGACCTGTTTCCAGGGTCGTGGTTGCTATGACATCCAGTGACATGACAACACGGCAGAATGGAAAGCTAGACAATATGTTGTCCAGGCTTCGGTCAATCAGACACACTTGCTTTGAACTTCCAACTGACTCACGTCATTGAATTATGCTTAAAAAATGGCCATAATGGATTTATGGAAAAAAGTGAAGACTGTCAGAGCCCCTATAGGTGAGATTTACTCAGTCGTTTCATGATTTTGTGAAAAACACATTTAAAAAAAAAAAACAAAACAAAAAAAACAAAAAACATGACAACATACAGTGCACCTCACTAGTTACCTTCAAGCAAACACGCCCTCGGATGAGGGCATAGGGAATTGGGCCATAGCTCCTTGAGTCAGTGGAATTCCTAAGGTTATCCCCTTCTAGCCATACATGGCCTTTTGGAACCTAAAAACATCAGCACACAGAAACAGGGCAGAAAAATGATTAACATGTAGACCATTTTACCCAACAACAAAGGAATCAAACAGAAACATCTCTGAAACTGCAGCGCTACTTCACTTAAACGTGGAAAAGTGAGATGACCCATTATGTAGTGAGAATCTACCTTAACCCCACCCCCTACCCCCAACGAGTCGCCTCAGCCGTCCCTCCCTCCTCAGCCTATCTTAACGTCAACCTGCCTGTCCCTCTTTAACCCCGAACCGTCTTAGGAGAGGGGTCATGGGTAACGGGCAGGGTCGGGGGGGATTTAGAAGAACTTCAAACGGGGTCATTAGGCTGTTGGCTGAGATCTGCTCCCCTCTTACCCAGGGAGGGCAAAGCAAGAGAGGGGCCTGAGATAGCTGGGCAGAGAGAGAGAGAGGGAACGAGGGAGATAGAGAGGGCTAAGCTGCGGCTAGCAGCAGTGTCCAAGGGTCTCCACCGCGGTCCGACCTGCCAGTGGGGCGGTCATCCAAGCGGGCTCTAATTCACAGTGACACCAATTATGATTAATCTCATCACTTTAGGAGAGTAGGCTTGTCAAGGCCCTAATTAAGTGCGCTGTCCCCCCTATATGTGCAGACAGGATCAACAACACATTATATTGTCATAATGGGCATCACAATCCACGAGTCTATTTTTGTGTTGCCTAACTTTTTAACGGCAAAAGTCTTCTGGAGGAAAGAGAATAACACGAATACAGGAGCAGAATATTGTCCACGCTGAGGTGACGTCAAGTCTTCGCCTCTGCTCATATTTCTTAGTCCCATCACCCTGCTCTCTGATTGGAGTCTTCAGTCCGACTGCGGGATGCTGCCTTACGTTTCATATTCGATAATTGAGACAGATGATGTGACATAATCACGAGCCAGTGACATGTTGACCTAACACGAGGTAAACAACTCACTGAATAACGACGACACAAATGAATATCATTAAAGGAGTCATCTGAGAACCATATGTCAGCATGCTGGATTCCCACCATTACACCTCATTAACATGGTAACATATGCTGGCTCCCAAGCACAGGAAAAAGAAACACCACCGTTTGTCATCTGCCAAACCAGAACCCCGTTTCTCCTCATCTTCCATGAAAAAGTATCATCTTCGTTGTGCTCTTCCTACAAATGTAGAGGTTTGGTGAAGAAATTTCAAGTCTGTCCAGAATTTGGTGAAACCACTGCCCGCACAAACTTAATTTCTTGAAATGGAGGAAGCGTTTCATAACTGCTCTTATCATCCCTTCTGATCTATTATGGATCCAGCCTGAGTAATATTCTGGGTATTGGACTCGAGTCACATGACTTGTACTTGAGTCACGCTCAAGTTACCAATTTGATGACTTTAGACTCTATTTGACAAAATCAAAAAAGACTTGCAACTCTACTTGGACTTTAAGGACTGTTGACTTCACTCAGACTTGAACCTTTTGACTTGAAAATACTTGACACCTTCCCTCAAGTGCCATGAGTCAATTCATTTCATGTTATTTCCTGAATCAACTATCATTTGAACACTATTCATTCCCAGCAAGTTCACACTCAATTGCCCAGATCAACTTTGTTTGAACTACTCCAGTAGCAACCATCGAAGAATGAAGGTTACGTTAGTGACTGCCAGTTGGAAAATATGATACCAAAGATATTTTCATTTGTGTACAAAATTTATGTGGTGGTTGACCGAAAAAGAACTGCAGTATGAAAGACGTGGGTCAAAAATTACAGATGTAGACCAGTGGTGTAAGGTAGTTACCACAGGCCCCAGTGCACACTAGTTACTAGTTATAAGGTGCACACGCACACACACACCACTGGCAACTGTTTATAAAAAAGCCAAATTAAACTAATTTAGGGAGATTTGCTACATTGTTCATTTCTCCCTTGTTCTTTCTTACTGTTGCTTTTATGTTTAAAAGCCATCGCTGCTCGCTGGACTTGTAGATGTGCTTAGCTTGACAGATTTGTGTTTAAACTAGCTACTGGATTGTATCATCTTGTCACACAATCAAACAGAGACTTGACATTAGACGACAGCAACATACATGTCACCAACAATCATCACTGCATACCTGTATATGACACAAATATTAAAGAAAATAAGAAATTAATTATCTAACAGATTTTTGTATGAATACTTGTAGTTTTTATAGTTAATGTAGAATAAGCATATCACTTTGTTATAGACTGCTACTGACTATATCAAAAAAGAGGAAAGAAAAAAAAATCATGGAGATGGGTTTGCATTTTTGAGAGAATATAGCCTGTATCAAACTGCACCATTTTTAATTTAATTTGAGTCCTTTATTAAACAGCAACAACTTCCAACTTTGTTCCACATTTGAAGTTGCACAAAGTCCAGGCTAATATTAACATTGTCAGTGAGCTAATGCTTAACTGACATTAGCTTGACAGTAAATGTAACATGTTATTACTCTGTCTTTAAAATGACATTACATTTGGCAAAGAGCACATTATGACTTGTTTAGGACTTGAAAGTTTAGGCCTGGGGACTTAAGTGTAAAAACTTGGACTTAATTGTAACTGGCAGAACAATGACTTGGTGCCACCTCTGTTAATATCACCATGAAGGTCAATAAATTCAATCGACAACAGCTAAAGTTTGCACTTTGACTTTGCGTCCCATGAGAAACACCTTTTAGAGAAACCTGAGTCTGAGTAAAGAAAAAAGTACTTTAAGGAGTATTTCAGAAAAGTGAGAGAGTGAAGAGGTCTGAAACGTGATCTACTATACTGTGGCCAGCATGAGGATAAAAGCTTATGCATATCACCTTGCAAGACGCAGGTGTGCGAACAAGGGGGGAGAAAAAAATTAGTCAAAGGCGAAGCTCTGAATTAAAACTAGGCTGATGCAAAGCAGCGGTGTAACCAGATAATGCACCATCCTTGACTCTGCTTTTCAGAGACAACTGCTGCTTCAAGCACCTGTAAATAGCCACAAAGCCATCAGCGTAATTTTTGCATGCACATAAAAGGTTGTGTTTAAGAAGCTCTTCTGTGGGTGTGGAGTCATTATAGCACATAAACAGTATCAACATGTGATTCTGACAGTGAAACAGATAAAACTGTCATCGGCAGATGTTTCCAACAGCAGAGATTTCCAAAGATCCAGGTAGGCCCAACGCAGAGTTGTAATGTTTAGATTTGCAGTCTGCCGGCGGCTCTGGTGTGATGGACGGCAGAGATTGCACACGTTCTGTGGTTGCAGGCTGGGTCGACACGAGGCATTGTGTACCTGTCAGAGATGTGTCGAGAGGCACTGAAACTGGAGCTCTCCTCGCCGTGGAGGTGTGTTGTTTAACAGCCGCACCATTACAGTGCTCATTACGTTAACATGATTGAGGCGGTGAATTATGTTCAGCTTAAATACATACAGGCTTATAGAGTTCATCTTTCACCGTATTACTCTGTCTATCTTTACTGCAAAGAACAGAACGTATGAGGACGTTTCATCTCTCCCTCTGTCACCCTCTCACTGCCGCTCTTTGCTATAATATTAGGGATCAAGTGTCATTGTTTTGACACAATAGCTCAGACACAGAAATGATTCCGAAAAGGTGACAGGGCAATTAGTCTGCTGTTGGATCTCTGAGGGTGGAGAGGACCTGCCTGCCTGTCAGAGCAAAAAAGGAGGTGATGACAGGGTCTAACACCGCCTTCCAAAATTCATCTTTACAGGTCCACCCATAATGCCTCACAACACCCTAATAGTCACACACAAACACACATACATCCTCTGGGGGAAAAACTCCCTGAGGGAGCCTAAACATTTATGTTAACAGGGGGTATTTTCTCAGTTACCTCTGATGCTGTCACATAAAGCCAGTGATTTTGCTCCTGGGAGTTAAAATTAACATGGGACAGCATATTAGGTTTCATGATATTAAAAAATGCTTAGTAATAATCAGTTTGTGAGGACAAGCCTGGTGGTTATTCCAAGCGTCTCACCTGCTTTGTTTGTGAAGCTGAAAACTGTAACAGTTTAGAGCATGCAAGATTTGCTGTATTTTTTAAAATGTACACCCCAACAAACAACACACGAGCTCACTTACTTATGCCTGTAAATGCAGTCACAAAAAGGGGAATTGTCCCATCCCAAAAAAAAAAGAAAAAAGAAGAAGAAAAAAAAAAAAAAAGATCATAAACGCTCTCAGTATTTTTCTGCATAATGAGCCCAACTCCTATCATCAACCAGATACCAAAGACAATCCAGATACATATGTTGTAATATTTTACTGCATTTAAAACAATTACTTAATCAGATAAAATGAATACATCTAACATGCAGGGTTGTAACCATTTGAAATATCAGTGGGTCAAATACAATACAACATTTTCAGGAATAAAAACTTTTTCAATTAAGCCATTTTATTTCTTCAGAAATGAGTAGTTCTTTAGCAGCATTTATGACATATAACAAGAGAAGTGAAGACACAAAACCTGATGTGACAGTGGTGACATACAGTATACAGGCACTGTGTTGTTCAGCAGATTTATTTGGTCATCTATTGTTTCTTTAAATAATCTGCAGCACTTTTGACAATCATCTAATTGTATTGTTTAATCAAGAAAAAAAGCCAAATATCCTGTTTCCAGCTTCTCAAATGTGAGGATATTCTGCTTTTCTTTGTTCTATACCACTGTAAACTGAATATCGTTTGGACTGTTAGAAGGATAAGAAAGATATGTGCATTTGTGTTTGACATTTAATTGTCTAAACCAAACACACTATTTGATAACAAAAAAAAAAAAAAAAAAAAACCCAACTAACTGCAGCCATATTCTGATCACAAAAGAAACTGCACTGTTCGATCCACATGTACTGACTGAACAGAGGCCCTTGGGTTAAATAATACAATACACTATTGTGTATTCTCACATCATGACTGGTATCAATCTTTTTTGTGTGAGTTGATAACAGTGATTTCTTTAAAGTTTATTTGAGTCAAGCTGTCACAGCGCTCGCCAGCAAAGAGAGTGACATGTTCATCCTGGTATGTATGGTGAAAGACATAATGCTCAAATGTTTTTCATGAATGTTATGGAGACACTGGTTGTCCCTTTCTGGATTAAAAAGTTACATTTGACACAAACCTACACAATTAAAAATTAAAAATCCTGTTAAAAAGATACTGAGTTTACGAGCAAAACCGTACCTTTAAAATAAGTGTCACTATTCATTCATAATGGGTTTGAAGCAGCTCCCCCTGGTCTTGATTTGGATTAATTAATTAGGAAGTGAAGAAACATCCAAAATGAATGGAAGTCAATGAGCTTTATCCTAAACTTGATGGACAAACTAAAAATATAGTCCCTGTCCACCTAGTGGCAACTTTAAAAATGACTCAAACTCAAACATCTGTCACTTCATCCTGGGATCACGAATCACAACGCAAAGATGTCAGGTATCACAAAGTTCAGTCCTCTGTATGTGGGGGGTGAAGCTAGTAGAAGAGGAAACCTCTTTATTTCCTATTTCATTTGCTGAATGACACTTACAGGCTTGGCCTTATGCTATGTCTCACTGAACTCATTCAATAGTCTGCCCATAGTCTATAAAACACACGGTAAATTCAAAAACATGCAACATGCAATGCAACCTTTGTTTTGAGGACGTATGCACACGCACACACACTCACACACACACACACACACACACACACCTCCGCCCACCCATCAGTCTGTCCATTCGGCTGGCACTAACTCTAACAGGCTTCAGAGAGATTGCAGGCCTGAGCTGTGGGCGTTGGGGAGAGTAGTAATAGAAAAGCAATGACAGTGGTTTCAGCAGCAGAACCCCTGCTCACTCTCTGGTTTTATCACTGTTCTGAGGAAATATAGGTGTTGTCAAAAGCTGATATTTTGACCAATGACACAAAATGGATGTGTGCGGTCTAAAATGTAAACAACTATGATAGTCTATAGACTGCAGTACACACACACATACAAAGAAAACCAAAGACAAACTGAGAGACGGTTTTGCATTATGCATAGAGATTCTGTTTCTCATTTTAGGGTGAAAACAAACTATCAAGTATTTTGTTGTAAACACATTCTTCATTCATTCTCCATTTTACTGTATCTTTTTAACCTTTTTTTCTTCCAAAGAGACTCGAAAACTGCTGCCAGGAGCCTTCCTCAGTAAAGCAGGTAATCACAGGATGTATAAGAAAAGCAGCATGACTTTTAACCAATATGGGCTCGTATAATGTAAACATACTCACGTATGTGTGGGACTTGAAGAGATCTGACGGAGAACTTGTGCAGACTTTGTCACCCTCCAGTCCAATAACCCTTTTACAAATGTTGATATGTGGGTCAGATGGACTCTTTGCAATTACTATGTCACCCCTGAAAAAAAATAAACACATTAATTTACTCAGCAACAAGTCATGGTGCAGTAATTCACATAAAATGGAAAAAATATCTTGTTTGTCTTGCTGTGTCCTCGTTTTGCCTACTGCACATGCATCCACTGACTGGAACCCACTTTTGTATTCTGCAAAGCTGACGACTCATCCGTTCTGAGAAGACAATATCATGGTTGACAATGGTGGGCTCCATGGATGGACCAGAACACTGAGGCAAAACAGCCACAAAAATATATTAGTTCTTGTGCAAAGATAAATTAAAACAATTTGAAATAATAATAACAATTGTGTAATCTTGATACGAACCACCACAAATTCTCCGATGTATTCGAAGGCACAATGTGCGATGCAGCCATACTGGACTGTGTAGCCCACAAACCCCAAGGTCTTCCCCAGCACCCTGCGGAACATCTCCACCTACAGCACAAAACACAACCGTAGGTCACGGCACATGTGTCAGAGTACATAGTTATCATGCTCTGTACATACTGTGGTGAGGAAAGAATTCAGTGTTTGATCCATTTATGGTAGGCTTATATCCTTTACACGATTTCTAAAAACAAAAGCTGTTTGGGGGTTAATTTCTGAAGGTGTGGACAAGCTTGTCACAGCTGGCCTACTGCTAAGATGGCACATTCCCTGGTGTTTCATTCTCAGAGGCTGAGCGGCCAGTTCACACCAGAAAACTGCCCTGACCTTTGATCCTGCGTAGGATGGACCAATCAACACCTTGCGCTCAGGTGACGGACAAACACAGAGGCTGTGACACATCCAGCCAAGCAGCTCCACGCCGTCTGGGGCTAGTCCCTGACACTGTGCTGCCTCCGCTACCACTGCAATCATTAGAGCGGTTATCAACTTATGTCAGCACCATAGAAACACAAAGACACCCCTCCACCTGCCCTGCGAACACTCTGTCACACAAACACACACGAGGACTACCCGTGTGTCTTCTGAGCAAACATCCCAGCCGCACTCAGGTTATTGACTTTTACTCAAGCTGCAACCTGTTGGATGGACCGAAGAAAGTAAGTCATCTTTACACTGTCGTGCACAGTGTGTACGCAGGCACACCTGCACACACACACACATGCAAATACACAAACAGATTAAAACTGTATGTTTTTGGGAAAGAATACAGCTTGGCTTCAACGTTAGTCTGCACTTCAAACATTTTTAGCTCAGACCGCTGTCCTGCCAGTCCACCACAGGGTAAAGAAATCTTTTTCTCCATCTCCCTTATTCCTTCTGTCTCTTTCCCTCTTTCTCTCTCCATGTCTTCTCTCCCTCCCAGGGTATTATTAACAAAAGCAAGTAGAGCGGAAACCAAAGCCCCAAATCCTCAGAGCTCTGGGAATGACTTCCCAAAGATGGACACGGATTAGACCCCCAATTTCTCCCTTGCGCCACCACCTCCACCCCCCCTTTCTCCCCAGGTCCCCAACAGACCGGGTGTCAGGTGGCTCTCCCAGCCCTGCCAAAGGTGTTACCCCTAATCCCATTACCCCCCTCCGCTCTTCTCACACACATACAAACACACACTCACAATGCTCTCTCATTCATGCCAACTATATTCCACCTATTAAACCCTCTATCTATTCTTTCATCCCTAGCATGGTTTGTCTCTTTGGCCCATTCACCATCCGCTCTGATCCAAAAAGACCAACTCCATCCTTTCACCTCCCTGTGTGCTGCTACTCCACTCTTCCCCCCATTCGCTGATCACCCCTGGCAACTCTCTGCTTTTTGCCGCCACTGTGAATAACGGCACTCGAACAGGTGAATGGGGACACATATATGCTCAGTGCAGGGCCCAAATGAAGTGCCCCTTCCCAGTCACATTCTGCTCTGGTCTCTTGTTCTGTTCCACAAGAATTATAAACTCAGTCCTCCCACAGCTGGTACAACGACACCTCTGGCCCTGTAATTCCTCTGTTGGGAAGCAAGTGGTCTAAAGGTTAATGTGAATCTCAGGTCTGCGCTAAGGTGACATGTTCAGCTCTATTCGTCGTGCCCTCAGCTTCCTCCACCAGCATCTCTGTCAATGTGGTACGGTAATGCACTCTCAGACATGATCTCACATGTGCTCTTCCTTCTGCTAGGCTGGGGATCGGGAATCTTTGCTAGCACTCATTCGCAAAGCACAGTGGATAGCCTCCCTAACAGCTGCCCTCATATCTCTGTTTCAGCTCCCCCCTCCATCCCGGGCTGCATTCATCATAGGTAGGGATTAAGGGACTTTGCATAACAAGATCACACGGCCAGTGACTGATATCAAGAGAGTCCATATGCAGCCGCCTGGTTTTCTGAGGCACCCTCTGTCATTGATAGTGTGTGACTGTGTGTGTGTGCATGTGGTGTGATGTGGTGTGACTGTGCACAGACAAAAGCATTACCTATGTGTTTCATAGGAAGTGTATATATGATCAGCATTGACTCCTCTGGGATTCAGAATGAGGTGGACATCTACAGAGACATCTGATTGGATCTCTATTACCTCTAACTCCCCAGAGCAAAGAGTCGGGCAGATCACACTATCTTTTGCCCCTAATACCCGTGTGTGTGTGTGTGTGTGTGTGTGTTGGGGAGCACCAACATTATCTGAATGCTGTATTACAGCTGTAAATTAACACAAAGTCTCTCTGTTAATCCAGGATTACACGCCAAACATGTTCATGGGAAAACAAAGAAAGTCAGCGCAGCCCACTCTGCAGAACCATCTGTGGCCACCGGCCTCCTGTGGTCACAGCGCAGCGCTACAGTGGAGAAAAGAGGGGGATCCCAAATGAATAGCTGTGGATGGAAACACCTCACTGTGTGTTTAACTCTGTGATCCTCTTGCTGAGGGAGCCCTGTTCACCCAGGACAGAGAAATCAGAAGTCGATAAATTAAAAAAATACTTTTTTTGTGACAGAAACTATATTAATTTTTATTCCATTTAATTTACATTTTTGGTTTTGTTAGACTTGTTTCAATTGCGATACCAGTATCAGGAATACCTCAGATCATGTCTAAAATAATGGATGGAGTATCGGAGAGTATGTCTATGCACTGGTCCGATACCATATAATTTATTGATAAACTTTTGAGCAGTTTTACACATGGATAAATCGCCAGTTTTCCTGCAAATCAATTCTTCTTCACTGCTCAACAATAACCTACACAGCAAGTTACAAAGTGAAGACACTGACAACAGCTGTCTTTAAGTGGTGAAGAATAACTGATTTCCAGCAAATAGTGGAATGTTAGCTCTTAGAAAAATATCAGAAATTGGCAATATTTTACGCTGGATATAATACAAAGTTGGATGGCATTCATTCTCTCTATGTATTTTTTCATGTTTTACAAAGGATTTAACCTGAGCAATGCCATACAACAATGATAGGAGTCATTTCACTTCCATACAGGGTTAGCAGTATACTGTTATTCTTTTTTTAAGGCAATGCTATCAGATCAGTACTCGGTATTTGCTGATACACAAGTTCAGGTATCAGAATCTGTATTAGAATCTGTATTTTTGTGTCATGCCAACACCTGGCCCATCCTATATGGGATTATACAACATATAATTTCACATACATTATCCAGGCTTACATCAACATAGCATACAAGACATGTGAAATTAAAAAAAAGAAGAAAGAAATAAAACATCCCAAATGAACCTTCTCACACAAGGAACTACCAAATATTTACAGATCTTTTTGATAAAGAGCTTTTTTCTTCTCCTCCCGACCTTCCTCCAGATAATTGGCCAATTTGTATGTTTCATATGACTAAGTAACTACAAGCATAAAGTGCAGCAGTTGTGGGGAATCCCATCACCGTGTCCACCGAGCTGTCAAAAGCATTTTAAGTGTACGATTTGAGACACTGCAAAAAATAAAACGTGAACAAGGTGTATTTCTGCCATCAGCATTGACATGAATAAAGAGGCTTCCTGAATGTCCCTATGACAGACACATCCGCAAGAAAATGGAAAGTTGATATGCTTTGGGCAAGTTGTTATTGTTGTTTCATATCATTGAATGTGATGCGTCCTCAGGATGAAAACAAAGAAACGACCTTGGCAATATTCTAATGTTTAAGTAAATTGTAATGTTATCAAGACTGGTGGCATCTTTATGCATCAACATGTAGGACATATTTTAAAGCTTGCAATTAAAGATATAGATAGTGGTGTTGGTAAAAACATTGATTTATCAATACAATATTACAAAATAATACAATAATTTGGATTAATTGAAATAGTTTCAGTACTTATTTTCCGCAGTATCGATAAACTGGTACCTGAGCTTTCTGGCTCTCTCCTGTTGTTAATGTTTACTCCAGTCATTCTGCTGTTTTTTGCTACTACCCATAAAAGAAAAGTTGTCATTGTCATGTTATAGCCTAGCTGTATTTATCTTTGAATAAGAAAAAATTCAAAGACACCCATTTTTCTGGGTGACAACACTAAAATATAGAATTGCTAATGTCATAAATTATTCTATAAAAATACATTGGTATATTGAAAAAAACTTTGTTAAAAAAAAACAAAACAGACTTTTGTTTTTTTTTACTGTTAAAGTTACACAGACAGTTCCAAGGCGTTTTGCCAAGTATTGAATACTTTTGTATTGTAAGCAAGAAAAAATAATGTAGTGAGAGTGCAGTCAATAACAGTATATTAAAACTGATACTTAATTAAACACACATTATTGAAGCCATAAGGAAATATTGAAAAAGGAATTACCGCTATAGGTCTCAGGAGACTTGAACCTGCCACTGGCTGAATAGTGTTAATTGATAAACATGGCTGGTCTATTAGAACCACAAAGAGAATCACAATCCAAACAGCACATGAGGGCCTTGCAGTGGACTCCTTACACAACTAAATTAGGAAAACATGGGCTGAGAGAGAGCTGGGCAACAGGGGGGCTAAGAGGCTTACAAGCCCCTTGTCAGATATTCTTTTTCTCCCTGAGGATCCCAGATGGAAGGGAGTCTGGAGGAGCAGGCAGCACCAGAGAGGGGACGAATCCCACCTCTGATGTCTTCCTCTGGGCAGCAGAAGGCAGGGGAGGGTGGGGCATTAGTCCTGTTGAGCAGACCTTGATTTGATCTTAATGTAATCTATAAAAAGGAGGAGGTTTGGGCAACCCGGGGGGGGGGTGGGGGGTGGGGGGGGTCTGTTTCTACTATCAGTCCAATCAGAGATAATCCTGCTGATTTAGACACAGACACCTGGCTGGATGGAGAGTGACAGATGTGAAAGTCCCAGTCACAGAGTACTACGTCTAGCCCCCATCTCTTCTAGGTCTGCCTTCAATCTGAGGCTTAATTGAAGCAACTGATCTACATATTGCTCTTTTCATCGTTGCTAACGGCAACATAGCCGTGAAACAGCTGAGCGAGGTTACTATTTGAGGAGCTGAGGGTTTAAACCTACAATCAGTGGGTCAGCCAGAGCAAATAATAGCCAAGTGATATGAATACAACTGCTATGAATTGAAAGGAAGTGTGGGTTGACAGAGTCCCCAGACAATTACACAGAATGGAAAAATCAGCCACTAAGCCTTATTGTATTGACCACAAGCGAATGCGTGGTGCTGGCCTGGTGCTGAGAGAATTGAGAGATCTTATCTGGTGTTGTATCAGATTCACAAAGGAGTTTGTGTTTTGCACTCACCAGCTCATGACAAAGCCTGATGTATTTTAACACTGGCTAACGACAGAAGCCTCAACCTGAAAGCAAACCTATGATTTTTAAAAATGTGATTTCCTTTCATTCTAAACACAAAACCATGTTATTTTTTTTTCATTGTCTTTTTTTCTACCCTATAAGTCAAGATAAATATGGCTCGCTGTATTTCATTCAATATCAGCAAAATCAAATCAAAATAAAGCTATTCAAAATACAGGGTGCTGAATAAATGGAAAAAGTTCAATCCTTTGACAAAATTAGCTGTGTACAAATCCCATCCTATGCTCATTGTACTTGTGCCCTTAGACTATTACTTTACTTTCAGCGCTAACAAAACAAATACGCTGCATGTTGATGATAATCTTACATCCCCCAGACACAAGACATGCACTGCTTTTCTCAGTTCAACACTGATGGCAGAACTAAGCTGAAGAAACCAAAACAATCTGACCAGGAAAGGCTTGACATGTTATGACTGCTGCCATTATATAGCTCAATCAGATACAGAGACTGATAAACCCGACAAAAACTCAGCAGAAAAACACACACATGCACAGATGACACATTGAAAAAGGGCGAAAATTATGTTATTTTTGTACATTTAGGCTGCTGTGTTTACAATACCACACACTGAGCTGTGCTACAGAGCCCACCAGTTAAATTGGGATTTAAGAGAATTAGAAATTAGACGCACTGTTCAGAGGATGTGGAGAAAGTTTCCACAGCAATGTACTCCAACATCCTGCATGTTGCACTGCTGAAGCAGGCTCTCCTCCTTCCAAGATGCAGGTCAGTCAGCGCATCTTATTTGTCTCATATAGGCTTTCCACAATGCCCAGTGTTGTCAGTCATGATATATTCCCTTGGTCTCCTGTCAGCGCACATAAATCTCAACAGTGCTGTCAAAACAGCAGGACTGCCTCTGCTGAGAGCATTTGTAAAGTGAGCAGTTGGGCTATTGCCTCCTCTGGAGCCTTACAGTATCCTGTGATCTTGTGCTGCCTCTGGCCTCTCTCTGCCACACAACGCTGTTTTACAGCTGTCTTAAGGATTACACTGATCACTCATCAGTCAGCCAGTATTAACAGTGGACATTATACAGTACAAAAGAAACTGACCTTTCCCCTGCCAGCAGTTTGCCCCATTTAACAGAACATTTAGAGTTCTGGAAATAAGTGAAAAAGGTCTCCATTGGCCTTCCTCACAGCAGACATTTTGACTTGTCATGATGACTCAGTATTATTCAAGTGTCCCATGATAGTGTAAAAGTGACCCTGTAATCAAAGCAGCTTAATTGAATAAATCAATCATTTTATGATATACCTGTGTTTTTCCCCACTTTCACATCAAAATGTCTCCTGCAGAGAGTGCTGCAGTATACATTCCACATTTTAGTGCCGAACCTCCCTTACAAACTCATGTATGAGTTCAAAGTACTGAAGTTTTTGTTAGACAATGTTGGAGATGTCAGCCAGAAGCATAGTCACAATGTGCTCAATCATTTTAAATAAAATCTACTTTTGCAGTTCTTTTGTGTTGGAAATAGGCTCAAATTTGAATGTCAATTTGATATCTTCAATAAAATTTTAAATATGTTGTAGATATATGGGTGTATTCTGGACCCCGCTGAGTCAAAATCAGTATTGAACATCATTTAAAAAGTAATTACTGCACTCCCAGGTTCTGCATGTGATATGCAGAGCATTAATACGGCAGCAAATGACTATTTGCCACATATGGATAAAGTGGCATAATGGGCGCCGAGAGCAGAGACTGAATTAACACTTCCTCTGTGTGTGGCATAATCTGAGTTTCCCTGGTTGTTGTTGTGGTAGATGGACTGGAGGTGCGTGCATGTTAGTGCATGTGAGTCCCTGTGTGTGTTAGCAGTGGCTAGCTAATCGTATCCATTTGCTTTACTCTTATACAGCACTTACCGCTGATAATAATGCCATCCTCACCTACGGTTGCAGAACAGAGTTGTCACAGAAGCGTAACACCCACCCTCCAGTTCCCTCCCTGGTTAACATCCTTAGCTCTGTCAGCACTGTTGCCACTGTTAGCACTGTTCACGCTGCTGGAAATGTTAGCTGCTTAACCACCTCCATGTCGACAGTTGTGTGCAGGCAATCCCAGCTCAGATTCTGAATCTTATGCCCTGAATATTATATTAAGCTCCTTCAAATACTTTCTGTAACAGTGGTAATGTCTACAATATCTCTTTTTTATCTTTTATTTCAAATAGAAAACTGCTTAAGACAGAACAGATATGTAACACGTTTCCCCTCTTCCCATCGGTCATTCCAAGAAGACTACAACTGGGTCTCACTTTACTACCATGTTGCAGGAAAACGTAGCAGTAACATAACTGTATTTCAGTTCAGAAATGAAGATGTCCTACTGTCACCCTTGCAACTGCTGAGCCCTTTAAACTGGGTGTGATCGGGAGAGTGACACACAAGGATCCACACTGACATTCATTGTCAACTTAAAATGACTACAGTTTATAAAACTACAAATACTACTAGTACATAGCAATTTACATAGAGCTGCTATCACGTGCAGAGACACATGAAGCTGTTCTGTCTTATGATGCACTTGTACAACTGCAATCGATGACCTATTTATTTATTTATTACACCACATTACATAAGGCCCATTTACAAAGGCCAAACCTCAACAGGGAGCAGAATGGAGTGCAATGGATACGAACAGAGGTGGGATAAATGATCAGTGTAGCTATTGTGATATAATCCCTTATGATTATTCACTACAGCCAACATCATAGTCTTTTGCCATTTGTCATTAATACACTGGCACCAAGCATTTCTGTTCTTGTTTAACATTTGGAATAAAACATAAAACATTTTATACTGTAGTAATTTGCTTTTTTTGTACATCTGCAAATCATAAATGCAGACTTCATCTATAACAGTCCACTTTCTAGCAGTTATGGCTGCTTTACATACAGGTGTGAGGGATGTCACTCATTTACATGTTGCTATGTGTGTTAAATCGGATTAAATCAGAAAATTCAGTCACATTTGAGGCAATCTATTATGCAGTGAAGCAATTTAGTGTACCGCTGATTCCTGCTAATTGAACACAGTTTCCCCATCCACATGTGTAGGCTATGTTCTCCTCATTTACATCTACGTTAAGGATGGTATCGTGGTGTGATATACTCTGTATTGTTCAACTATTACAAGTCGTGCATCAATACACGGTTTTAATTGCAGTTACTTCTACTCTAACTGCTAAACAAGAGATGGGTTTTGATTGTAAACGAAGGGGCTGCTTCTGTCCAACAGTTAAAGGTGTCTGTAATATTATGCAATGAAGCAACAAGGTCATAGCGGCTCAAAACCTTCCGTTAGGTGACTTTCTCAGGCACAGAATAGCTGCTGGACATTGTCAAGAACACATAAGCTAATATAAATTTAAAAAAGATAAATATATGATAAGATACATTAGCTTTACTCACCTACAGACTGTCTGAGTCAATGCTCCGACCATGCATTCCCCATAACAAATTGAAATTCCCTTTGACAGCTTCCAAACGCGGCACAGTAACAATCGCTGTCCTCATTGGTCGAGCGCCACCAAAGTCTTCTTTGATTGGACAATACGCTCCAAAACATTAACAGGCGTCACCACGTTACAAGCACTATGGCAGCCCCCATGAGCAGTGTGGGTAAACCGTCGGCTGAACGTCCACCGTTCAATACTACGAGTTTTCAGAAGAAAACGAGGAGCAAGTTAATTTCCATACCTGGTACCAGACCCTCGGTTCAAAATGGACAACTGTTAGTTTCGACCGGTGTCACGTCACTCGACTATCTGCTCGGTCAGTCTGCCGTTGAGACTTAACGTTACTGCTAGCTACACAGGCTAGCTGTGTTTCTTAGTGTAATATCAGGTAGACACATTGATGTCAGGTCAAAAAATAATGTTTTTATTAATTTGTCTAATAGGAAATGTGTGAATTAACACAGAATATGGTGTTTTGTTGCTGTCAGGGCAACACAACTTGGACTCAAAGTGTTAAAGTTAACGTTAGCATCACAGAGCTATGCTGCTTTCAGGCTTATTTAGTCGGGACCTACTTTCTAACTAATAATTTATAATGGATGGTTCATGGCCCACGGAAAGGTATTTGCTTGAAGTTGCTGTCAGCAGTGATTTCCCCTAAGCTGATGCCAGAAATGCAGCATGCTTAACTCTGTCATATTTAAACCCCCAAGAAACAAACTTGTCCAAAAAATGTGACATCCGTGTTTATTCTGAATGCATTAAAAAAATGTGTTGATAAAATTGGCATGCCATGTTTTAATATTGAGGCTGCCAAATCCACTTAACTGATATAAAATGAGAACTAGTTTATGTTGTTGCGAGGTGAGATTGATGATTGATAACCTAAAACTAGTCAGCAAAAGTTGTGTTGTGTCATTAATTGACACACTTGTTACCGTATACAGGGTTTGAAATCAGCTCCAGCCACCAGCCACATGCTGGTAAAATATGCAAGTGGCTGCTAGATTTGCTTCACTCACTAGCCAAAAAACAATGGGAATCTTTTGTGTGGCTGGTAGATTTTGGAATCCACCAACCATTGTGGCAGGTGGACAAGAAAAGGTTAATTTCCAACCCTGCATATGTCATGAGTGCAGGGATGAACAGATGATAAAGCTTCTGCAAATATTTTATGTGGAAATTTTCTCTCTGGTTGTTCCTAAACCATTATTATGTGAACAAACATGTTCTTAAGGAGAGAATACATTTGGAATATTTAGAATTAGGTAAAACAACATTATCCCTGTCCTCATCTCCATTCAGGTGTTCTTTTTAAAGACTGCATTGGGTTGTTCTGTATTTATTTTTGGCCATATTTTAAAGCAATAGATAAAAGGTAAGTCGCTAACAACACTGCATGGCCCATATCTCCCTGCATCTTTATGCAGTTGTGAGCCCAGAAATGCTCATAAAACATCGGGAATTTGTATGTTTTCCTGTGTCTGAAAAGGGCCAATATATCTTCAGGTGCAAGATTTTTATGTAACTGATATGTTAGGGGTTCTGACATGAATGTTGTAATGTGTCAATCAAAACATTGTACCATGCTTGGTTTCTTGTTTATTTGTCCTTAAAAGCATTTTATACCCCGATCTATTTTATGCTTGTTCTCTGTAACATAATGGTGTTGTAATAAAGCAACAATATCCACAGAGAAGCAAGGTCTAGTAGAACCAGCTAACATTGTGGGTGTATTGATTGAATTTCATAAAGTAGTCAGAATAATCAGAAATCATCGGAAAGCCAGGGGCATAATGTGTGTGTGAGGGGGCCATGGCCCTTTCCTTACTTTCCACCTTCTTAGATCTGGCGCCATTGCTCAGACCACACCAATCTGTAAACTTAGCCCATGTGATCCTACACACATAAATAGACTCACAAGGTGAAAACAAAGCCAGCCCTACTGTCAGAGCTGGTAATAATAAATTCTTGCAAAAACCAGCGTGGAAATGTGTGAGACACCTCTTCAGTAGGCCTTTTTCATAGGAGACATTTTGATATCATGACACAGAAGGAATAGCACACATGTAAATAACAAAATTAATGATTTGAGGTTAATGCTCATTTAGCCACTTCGGTTTCAAGTGGTTCACAGTTATTTAAAGAGCGCTCCACACCAAAAATGAAAGCTATGATGGGCAAAGATTTGAGCATCCACACTGAGAACGATAACTATGGTAAGGATAGTAATAATGATGTGAGCATGGTGAATGATAATGTTCAATAAACAGTGGCACCAAGCATGCTCTTAACACTTCAGCTGTGACATACACTTAGAAAATGGATATTGATGAGCTGTTACTACTCCACAACAAAAAACTTGCCGCTGATTCTGAGGATGAGCCCCATTGCATTCCAGATGTCCTACTTTCTGATAGCATCTTTATAAAGACAATTAGTTTTATCAAATGGATGTGTTTTATTTTAACCTCAATGATGAGTCTCTTTGCAATGTCATCAGCCATGTTGAACATTACACATGGTAACACACAAATTACACAAATCCAAATTTCAGTCGGATTTTTACTGGCTGTATGTGTTTCTGTTGTTCATCAAATTTTTCTTAAAGTGATTCTGATGATTTTGTTCTCCATTTGTTGTTATTTAAGTTATGTGGACCCTGCTGTCCATTTGAGTTAGAACGATTTTAACACAATATATTTTTGGTCATTGTAGTAGCTGTTGTTCTTCATGTGGACAGCTGACTGTAATATGTGATTGATATTTATGAAAATACTAATATTGTTCCTTTTTTTGTCTTGAAAAACAGGTGGCGGGTTAGCAGTTGGAACAGTACTTCTCATAGGTGAGCCTCTCACTTGCCAAATTGAACACTGGTTTAAAGGTCCCATTAAATGGAATGATAACCTCCTTGTGACATATTTCCCAGGTCACAAGGACATAAGACAGTGAGGAATCAATTGTAAGTTCCATCCAATCAGCTGTCAGTTATGGAGACAAGGGTGTTGCATTTGGACAGAACAGCCTAAAAGTCAGGATAATTAAATATGTGTGATGACCTCATTGGTTTGACTTTTGTGTTACCTCATTAATGCAGCATGAAGTCCCCACTGAAGAGTGACTGTTTTCCATGAAATTGATATACTTGATAGCATTATCTATTATTAGTAGACACTATAACTATATGTTCTGGTGAGTGATTTTGCTGATGATCTCTTAACTTTTTATCAGATGCCAAAATCTTGAGTTAAAGCTATTTATCAAGAATAGCTTTGAGCAAATAATACACGATAGCGTACACAACCTGTGCTAAATAGAGTATGCGTGACTCCATGGTTCACGATACACAACATCAGGTGACTCTTCCTGACTCCAATTAGCCTTTTTGCCTTTAGGCTTCATGAGCATGTTTGATGTGTTTATCATAGTTCTTAAAGTAAAGTTTCAATACCTCAAGCCACGTCATTTAATTTGCTCTGATGAGTCATAGAAGGTTGCGAGTAATGTTACAGTAGAAGTTGCCTTGGATGACGTCAGCGCATTGGTGTAAAAAATGATACAACATACACAATACTAGATACTTAAAGCCAGGAAGATGCATATATGCTGCTCTTGTTTGAAGCAGTACAGCCTTACTATAGCCTTATGCTTTTGGCAACTCTCTCACTTATTAAGTTGTGTAGATTTTAAATGACACTACATTAACCTAACACTGAGAATATATAGCCAAAAATCTAATGTATACCCCATACTGAATTCAGCAGCACTTTTCAGTGTGCCTCAGCTAATGATACTGTCTGTCTGTTCTCAGGCTTTTTGCGGTTAGCGTGTCACCGTCTAGCAGAATGGCAAATAGACTCGTGACCTGAGGGTCTCTAGTTAGAATCCCAGGTGTTCACACGTCCACTGTGATCCTTAATTGATATGCTCATCTGCAGATGTGTTATAGAAGTTTTCGGAAGTACATTCAAAGCAAGTGGGTTTTCTAGGGACATAAATGTCTTCCCCTGTATTATTATTGTTATTATCATTCATCATAGGCTAGGCTATATGCACTAGTAGACAGTAAGGTTAAGGTATTCTTGTTTCCCCTTGAAGCTGTAATTTGTATGTAGCAAAGGCCTATACCAACTGATGATATTGCTTTGCCCTTTAATTCACCCCCCCAATCGATGCAGGAGTCAGTGATTATACACTAATGCGTTCTTCCCTTCCATTTTGTGAATCAATGTACGGTTGGTTTCATCTGGTAATGAGAGACACAGTAAAGGTGAAATGCGTGTGTGAGCTCTCTTGTGTTTGTCTCTGAAAGAGTGGTGTGTGTGTGTGTGTGTGTGTGTGTGTGTGTGTGCATGTGCGCACTGAGCTGTCTGTGTGTCTGTTTTGTTGTGTGGGTGGGATGGGGGGAGTTTGGAGTGTGTGTTTGTTTGTGTTTGTTTCAGGCAGTCGTCTCCTACAGTCTGCCCCTTTAGCTGTGATGGCCTGTTTGTGAGACACAGACATAAAATTATCAGACTGCCTTTGAAGTGTCTTGAGCTGTCCATCCTGATTTGTCAACCAGAGGGGGATCAGCCCAGTATGGCTGCTGTCTGAAGATCTCTCATCTCTTGTGTTTTTCTAATAGAAGGAACAAAGCTTCCCAGCTCTTATTATGGTGACCATGTTTGGGTTCGTTTCATTAGTTCAAGTGAATGTGTTTTTTATTTAACGTACCCAAAATAATTACTGTTAAATCTGGCCTAATTGTTTTATACGTTAAAATATTTCAAAGCTTTAACGTGGACTTTGGATATGGGTTATCTTAGTTTTGAGCATAGTTTTGATTTATGACAATAATAACTACAATTTCCATTGTAATTATCTGACAAAAAATCGGACAAACTAATGAGGTCTAATAGTCAGACAGTACAACATATTTATTTAGATGATGATTCAGGTTGCCTTCCAGAACAGGGACACAAGAGGATTGAAGCGTGTGAAAAAGATTGAAGGGGGAAAGTAAGAGAGGTGAAGAGGGCACACAAGACAACTAAAAGGCTTTTAAAAGCAACAATACCAAACGCACGTGGGACATTATGAAGGGGATGACTGGACTGTTAACCAGTCGGAAAGCATTAGTGGCAGACAATGAGGCAGAGTTTGCAAGTGACCAAGAGAATTTTTTCTCTGGGTTTGATAAAGGAATAATTGAGATCAGGTGAGGAGCACTTTTGAGTATCTAAATCAGAGGAAAGCCACAGGACCAGATAACCTCCATGCATTTAGTTTGAAAATATTTGCAGCCAAGCTTTTGGCTGTGTGGCAACCTATATATTTCAGTTTTCTGTTAACACACACATAATTCCTGAAATGTGGGAGACCTCACATTAAATGCCTCTTCCAGAAACAAGCATGTCGTAAGAAACTTGGGGATTTTCGTCATGGGGAGATGACTCCTGTTATTATGAAAACATTTGAAAGAACTGTGATTCAGCAACTCACTAATGAGGCTTTCACGTAGGGACCCACATTTAGATTGAGTGCACTTGACCCCAAAGCACTGGATGGATTGCCATTTAACTTGAGTAAAGGCAGCGAGTGGAGTTGCAAAGACATTTCTCAGTGACGCTGGTCTCCTGAAATCATGCCAAGCATGTGCAGATCTTATCCTATGAATTGCACAGCAACTGGTGATAATGTAGGAAGGCAGGCAAGAGGGTCGTTCTAGACATTGTCTCTAAAAATATAAACAATAGCAGGCATAATGCAAAGTGCAACTCCATTGTCTGGGCTGGGGATCTTTTGATTGGTGCTCTTTTCTACACTGTAGCGACAATATAAACAAATGGCACGTAGACGATGATGCAAGTGCACTGTGGTATGGACGTTGATGTAAAATCGGAGCAGCGAGGGAGTTGGGGAGGGGGTAGTTGTATTTGGGCACGGTACCAATCAGTTGCACCTAATATGAAGATGCCCTATGTCTGTAGGCAGCAAACTGCACACCAGTTTGTATCACAGCACAGAAGTTGCAGTTGAAGCATTTAGACAAGCCTAAAGCTACAGCTCGGGCTCTCTATTTAGATTTTATATAAATAATCAATATTTAATCCAATTCAGCCAGAGCTTCTATTGGCAAAGATGGTTTAACTAAAGGTTAATCCTTACGTGATTCAGTGGTAATGCACATTTCTCACATATAAAATACAGATAGTTGAAGTCAAACAGACATGTTCTACTTTCATGGTTACTATCTCAGGAGAACCTCAGGGACATGTAAGCACTCCCCTTCTCTTCACACTTTACAAAGACGATTGTAAAACTGATATTCCCAGTACTTTTATATTGAAGTTTTCAGATCATACTACACTGTTGTCTTTGTTGGAGGATGAGGATGAGAATGATCCTAGTGTTCATCAATATTGTACAGACAGATTAATGGAGTGGTGTGAATGGAATTGGAGAGAAATAATTTTTGATCTCCTAGTGAACTTGTTGATGCTGCTTTAGCCTGAAGTGCACTTATAGGTTATATCTGTAGTAAGGTACAACTGCACATTCACTTTCTTAAGAAACCGAGCTCATTTGGAGCAGACAAACAGATCCTATTATTGTTTTTCTGAGCTATAAAACAGTGTTATGCAGTGTGGACTGAGTACATGGTACAATTGTCTCTCTGTTCAGCTTAAAGCTAAACTGGCTAGACTGCTACAGATCTGCTCAAAGATTGCGGGTCAAACACTTCTGTCACGTTTTCAAACTGCATACACTTAACTTCCGCCTAAGGTTTCTTTGGCTGATAATACTACGTTAGACCCCTCCCACATTTTATTTGAAGAATACCAGGTTCTACAGTCCCACTGGCTCAGCTGAAAAGATTAAGGAACTCTTTAATTTCTCCGTCTGTCAGACTATTAAATCAGAGTTTGGGTCCTAAGTAGCCTCAGTGCACCTGCGTCGAACACTGAATGTAATAGACCTTTTTTACTTGACATTTTTTGTCACGCAAGGAACAACACAGGTGTGAATAATGAAATTAATAATGGCGGAATTCCATTTAGCTGCTTTGATTTCAGGATCCTTGTATCCTGTATGCTTGCTGACTACCCTTCTCACTGAAGCACTTCAACACAACAGAGCCATCATTTGTGTTATTAGTAACAGCTGTTTTTCCTACTATGAAAAATCAAAATGTCCGCTGTGAGAAAGGCCCATAGGCAGCACTGCATCCACTTTTTGTAATGTTTGATGAACTAAGTAGTGTTTGTAGTATGGTTTTGTTGGTTGACTGAATGTTGTGTTTTGTATTTATGTAAAATGTCTTAGGATGCAAGACACATTTCAGAACATGGTCTGGTAATAAAGTGAGATCAAATCGAGACTCTATAGCAACATGCGATGAAAAGACATAAACCCTGAAGGTACTTTATCACGATTACAATCACTTCTATAGGGGTGGGTTATATTAGGTTGCATGACAAAAGTTTAGTTCAGATCTGTGTTGTCCCACTAAAAGGAATTTCTTATGGTAGCATTAAAATATAAAACGTAAACATAGTGAAAAGACAATAACACAACTGACGACATTTAGTGCTGGACATGCAATACACAATACAATACAATGAATGTTAAAACAATGACAAATTGCAATGATAACAAAAGAGATAAGAAAATAAGGAGGATTTTTTTCAGCTGTAACTTTTACATTTGCAAGAGGCGATTGCAGATACCTAACAATTCCAAAGAGGCCAGTGCGTGAAAAAACGGCACGTTTTAATGTGTCAGCAGTCTTAATAATCATAACACCATGTGCCTAATAATACCAATAAACTGATCTGATAAAGAAGAACAACGGTCACAAGTTGAAGCTTAACAATAGAGATATGCTGGACATATACAGTATATAGGACTTGACAGATGCTGCTAATTGGCATTAAATGGTAACCTAGTATAGCCCACCTTTTGTAGCAGTACTTACAATGGTGATTCAGTTATTTTAATGAGTGCAGTTCCTATATAGCAGTAATTACAATGGCTATACAGTTATTTTAAAGAACAAGTGCTTTTTCATTCTATTTACCTGCTGTATGTCCTAAATGAATTTGAGCTGTTCAGTAGAAATGATATTGACCAAAGATTCATACAAGGGGGAAAACACCCTGACCTAGATATTTTGTCTCCTCCCCCTGCAGCTTTAGCAGATATGATTCAGGACTCTAGCACTCCCACTCCCCTGTTTGAAGGCAAATGAGACAGAGCCCCCCCCCTTACCTTAGTCAGAATCTGCAAAAAAAAAAAGAAGAAGAAAAAATCATCCCATGACTGTCCAGAGTGACTGATCTACCTCAAAGATATGACCGTCCCCCACCCCCTGTTGCTTGTATACCCCACCACCTCCCACCCCCTCCCTTACCCCCCGCCTCAACAGCCTAATGACTCCTGGAGGTTCCATTTGTAAGGCTCCCATAGAAACACAGCCACAATAGGCCCCATCTTGAGAGGGCCCATCTGGGAGTCTTTGTGGGGCCTGCTGAAAGCCACAAAGGCCTGCTGACCTAGAAACCCATCAATAAGAGAACAGGGAGCCCCACCGACAACAAATTGAAGAGCCATGGAATTTCCTGTGCCATCCTAAGTGCGTAGGTGAGGACATAGACCGGGAACGTGGGAGGGGGGAATTCTCCGGATGTTTGAGGATGACACGTCAGGATGTCATTCCCAAGCTGTCAGCTGTATGCCCACTACCTTAAACTGTCACTGCTGCCTTTGTCCTTGTGCCCACTGTTTGTCATTGTGTGGAGAGGCCTATGAAATCCTTACAAAATGATGATTGTGACAGGAAGCAGCAGCAGCATGCTGGGTAGAGTTATGTGCCCTGCTGGGGGGGTTCATGGTGATGATGATGCAGGCTTTTTTTTTTACGGGTTTGGGGTGTTGAATGACCGGGTGGCTGCTTTGTGTATACAGAGAAAGGCTACCTTTGGGAAAGTATGTTCAATGTTTAGAATCTCTTGCCCGTCCATTTAGTGTTTGAGACATCCCTTTAAATGAGACTATAATGTCATCACTCCAAGCTGAGAATTACCCTCCCCACTTGTTTTTAAAAGTCTCTCATATAACTTGTATATGCCTTTTAACCTACTTTTATGATAATAAATACATCTGATGTGAATGACAGTAGAAACATGATAATGAAAGGATGCCAGTGCCATCAGAATCCACACAAAAAACAGAGAGATTCAAGTGAACCAGATGTCGGGAAGCATTTTGAGGACAGGCGCTATCTTATCCTACTTCTGCCTCCTCTTGTCAGTTGTCCTGACATCTGGGGCACCTTTGCGTTCGGGGTGAGGTGTCAGTGAGTGCTTAAGACAGGTGCCTCCCTCTCACCTCCAATGCTGGTTGGGGATATGATAGGTGGACAGGAATACTGTGAAGACCGTAACAAGAGAGCTGAAGATGTCAGCCCCACTTTGATAGTCCGGTCACATGTTTCTGTGCCATGTCGATTGCCACTTCATCTGTTCCCTACAAAAGGTAGCCCGAATATGGTCCTTATGTCAATTACAGTCAACAACTGTGATGAGGTGATAAACTTCTGGATCTGTGGTGTCTGAATGAATGGTCAGAATGCGACAACACCCAATGATAGACTTGAGGTTGATATATTTTTCATAGGGAAGATGTTGTATCTATTTTATCAGTAAATAATTTCCTTAAGCCTTGTGGACACTGTTAGCAGGATGGCATTGACTGACAGAGTGTGTGTTTATAAGTATTCCACATGCACTTAAATTCTGATTGTTCTTGGCTTTTTCTTTTTTTAGAGGAGGACCGATATGATAGCTACTCTCGTATGATCTTGAAGTACTTCTTGGCAGAAGGGGTGGTGTGTCGACATGAACTGTTTGTGGCGGCAGCTCAAGATAACCCAGATGACATCTTACAGGTATGAAAGGAGGTGCCGTCTTTTCTGTAAGCTCTTAGAAATGAAATAAGTATTGTGTATTTTTTTTTCAAGCTACAAGTCTTGACAAACCATCCACAAAGATGGCCTCAATATGTCTTCTTTAACGTCATCCTTGTACAACTGTTGTTCTGTCAAAAAGACATTTTAGAAAACTTTTGTTTACCTTTTAGTCATGAGAAGATGTTGGAAATATTCTGCCGACTTGTAGAAGTATTTTTTTGTGTCAAAATATACGAATCAGCTCCCACTGTACAGTATTCAGCCTGGTTCACTCTGGTCGGACCATGAATTAGTGGGTATTGTAGGCACACAGCTTTTCCCAAGATGTGGCAGGGTCAGCGGGGGTATCTGAGAGGTCGAGGGTGGCATGGTTGTGGCATTGTTGAAATGTTTCCCGATGCATCACTCTGTGAAGTGGACCGAAGCTCCAGAAGCTGACTGCCACCCAGCATACAGGAGGAGGGCCTCTCTCCCACTGATTGATAGTGGGAGGGGTCACAGTCTCACCCTCTCTTTACATATCAAAGGGTTATTAAGAGAGGGGGACTCCCAGTGGGGATATATCACATCATTTAGTGTTTTCACAGCTACATTCACAGCATGCTAATCTTCAGATACTGAGGTTGTACTTCTTGCATTATGTTAACATGCACCCAAGAAACAAGCTTATTGGCAGAAATCAAGTTAATGCAGACACTTTCACATGCGCTGCAATACCTCAGGCACTTATAAACCCATGTTTACTTGCATCAGCTAATCAGTTAGATTTCCCACCCACCCATACCATGTTTTTGAATCAGAGCTAGCAAGATTTTTTTCATTTTGTTGGGAATAAATTACTGCACAGTGAAAGAACAGGCTGTCTTTCAAGAAATCTCACTGTTTTTCTCACTATGTGCATCAGTCTGAATTAACAGTCTGCTGTTTAGCTTTGGCAAGTAAGTCTGATTTATTTTAGTTTCAGTCTAGTTAGACTTTGGATCTTATTGTATTTAATACAAGGACACACTACTACAATGATCATTCATCCCTCCGCACTGCTGCCACAGCAGTATTTTTCCTCTGTAAAGGTTTTGTTGTCATATGCATGTGCTTTTTTAAAAAACCCATTAAACCCCAGTTAAGTTTCTACGTGACCAAGAAATGAGGATTCTCCAGGAAAAATCTCACAGTTTTAACTTGTTTCAACACAATTAAAGAAACCAGGTTTGTTTTTCGTTTACATAACAGTCAAGAAATTATGTTACTGTTGAAAGCCGGCACTTAAGTGCATGCACATAATGCACTGTTAGAGAAGACTGTACTGTCTTGTCACACTGTGACAAGTCATATAACACATAGGCTGTAGAAATAATGGACAATAGCCACCGCGACATCACCCAAAGGTGATTTGAAGCCTGGAGTTCAGCATATCAGATGTCGCCATCTTGTTTTTTGGAGCCAGAATTGACCATAGTTGGACAAGAGGCTGGAGCTGTGAAGGACTGAGGGGTGGGTCTGACTGAGAAGCCGAGGACACTACAGGCAGACAGCTTGTCACTCAGTGCGGCCCGCCCTTAATTATGCGTAAGTTAAAGCCTTAATAAAATTCAAATGGGCGAGTTATAGAAAAAATAAGCCTCAGTACAGCTGTCATGAACAGTAAAATAAGCTCTAGAGACCAAAACCATTTTTGTACCAGGCTGTAAACATGTTAACTGTAAAGTTGGGCATTTTAACATGGGGGTCCGTGGGGATTGACTGGCTTCTGGAGCCAGCCTTAAGTGGCCATTGAAAGAAATGCAGTTTGCGGTTGCTGCTTGGTATTTTACAACAATAAGAGTAATTAAAATGTCTTTGGACCATTCACAATCAGCACATTTTAACTTATTATATTAATTGTATCATTTTGTGTAGGAACTCCCGGCTCCCATCTTGGACGATGTTGCTATCCACAAACCAGTGGAGCAGCCCAGGCTGTCATGTGAACCTCAAGACAGTTTGGATGCCATGAAGATTGCCTGGCGCTATCAGAATCTTCCAAAAGTACAGGTAATCGGGTGACCGAATTACAGTTTATATTGACTGTTATTGATGGCAGCGTATTTAGACTAGAATATACTGCAGGATATACCGAGCTTTATAATCAGACTACTTTTATTAAAAGTTCAACATGTATATCCGCTATTGATTTTATGAGAAAGAACAGCACTGGCTCTCTGGTCTTAGTGATTTGGCAATTGTCTCTACCACTAAATCCATCAGCTTCTAAACTCCTTTGTGGAGTGAATGAGGCCTCAGCCTCTCCTTTCAGAGCTGGACCAGATTACTCACACTTAGCTGGCAATAGGTAGGCTTTTCACTGGTCCCCAACTCAAATATACACACACATACACACACGCCTGCACCCCTGCTTAGCCTGGGAAACAAGGGTACTTTGCAGCCTGTGCATTGACATGTCTGCTCGCTCAACCCTATGACCCAGACCTGCACCTCTGTCTTCCCCCAAATCCCTGCCTTTCCCCCTGCTAGGGTCGGCAGCCCTACACTCTTTCTTCCGCTTTGAGGAGAGGTGACCCTCCCCTTCTACTTCTCTGCAGTCTCCCCCTTCAGTCTATAATCCATATCGCTATGTGGATTAACAGCACACAGTGTGTCCCTGGGGATCCTCTCCCTCTTTCTCTCTCCCTGGAAACTTCTTTATATCTGTGTCCTTTCCTCACCTCTCCCCCTTCCCCTGTAAAATCGTCTTTACAAACCACTAGTAAGCCCCACCAGAGGATTTGCATCCCAAATTCACCCCCAGAGTCAACGCTTACTTTCCCCTTACACACACCTCTCCTGGCATAGCCCACTGTGTCGCTCTCCCGATGAAGACATCAGATCAAAGGTGAGGCCGTCAGGGCGGGGATAGAACGCTAAGCGGGTTGCCTAGCTCACAAAGAGAAGATGAGCCCCTGACCCCCCTGCCCTGCTGACCCCCTCGTCCCGCCAGGAGAGGGACACACCGGGGGCCCTAATCCAGATTAGGAGTAGATTAAGGGCCCCTCCAACAATGGAATCCCTGGTTTCACCGAGAGAGAAGAGCTAAAACTCTCTCTTTCAGCTGCAGGAAAACATCCGCCTTCCCCTGCGTCCCTGACACGTTTGCTTTCACAGCCAGAAGTGGACATTTATGTGAAGAAATGATTAAGAACGTGGTCGTAGTGGTTATTTAACTTCTCTGCTTTAGGAATGTTGAGGAATGACCCATAAACAATGCAATTGCATTACCATAGTATAGTGAAGCACACTCATTTAACATAGTAGAAAGACAAATAAGATTAATTTTCTTTATGAGTTGTTTTATTGTTAGCGGAAATTAGTTAGTGCACACAATCAGTTTGTTGTAAGTGGACTAAAGCAAGCAGTATCTTCACACACGGATGATTTCAGATACACGCAATGCTTTTTAATTAAACATATTTTGGTTTTTATATACTTTAAAATGAGTTTGACCTGTTGACCTCCTCCTTAGACTGCCCTGGCATCCTCATCCCGGTTCGGACACTATTATGACGTCTCCAAGACGATGGAGCCAGAAATTCGCCAGGCAGCCAAGTGCCACCGCTTCTACCTTCCAGAACATCCCACCCAGTCATCACCCACACACAGGTAAAATGACAAGACATCATCCACAGAACGCATGGAAACCAATGAGACACCATCCGCAGAACACAGGCACACAAACACGACATCATCCACAAAACACAGTTACACAAATAAGACATCTTCAACAGAACACAGGTAAGCAAACATGGCATCGTTCACAGAATACAGGTAAACCAACAATGCAGACAGACCAACATAATTTAAGGAGAGCATACTGTATAAGCCCTGCAACCAGCGTGTGCGTTAAAGAAAAGTCAACCTGAGGGGACATAATTCAAATTCAGTGCTTCCTTGTATCATGTAGAGCACTGTGATACTCATTCATAAGAATTTAATAAACTGTGTGGCTGCAACTGATCAATTCATCATTTTACATTTCTAAATTAATTGTGTGTCAAGAAAGAAAAGCCCATTACGTAGAAACAAGAGCCCAGGTTGACATATTTAGATGTTTTGTTTAGTGTGACAAACAGTCCTAAAAGCAAAGATATTCCATTTACCTTGATATAAAACAGAAAAAACAGGAAATACTTACATTTCAGAAGCTGGAACAGGTTAATGTGTGACGTTTCTGCTTGAAAAAGGCTGAAACGATTTAATAGTTATCAAAATAGTTGCTAATTAATTTTCTATATATCAGCGAATCAATCAATTAATTGTTTCAGCTCCAATAAAGTACAGTACACTTTCTTAGTTTGGTATAAATAGTCATTGAGATCTATTACCTTGCTTAAAGATATAAATGAATATTAATCAGTTTAGGTGACATTTAAACATACATGGTTTCATCATATTTGAATGAAATGTCTTATTTCAACAAAACAGTGTTGTTTTTTAAATACATTTTGAAAGCTCAGTGTTTTTACACTTTAAACAGCTGATATAAATCCTATCTTCCGAAAAGCTTGCCATTGGCCTAAGACATTCAGCCTCTTGGAAAGGTTGTGTATGTCTATTCAAATAAGGGTCTTGTTTGCTCAGTGTCTGTTTGATTTCTCCTGCGTTGAGTGTATTTAGGGTTCAGAGGTCATGCAGGCTCTTTACTCAGAGGGTGCTGTTGAACACACAAGGGCACACGAAGGCACACTTGCACACACTGGGTAAATACAGCAATCTGGAGCACAGAGGATGTGGAGGAGGCTTTATAGAATCCCTCTTCCTTTATTTTGACAAACAGAAACTGTTTAACGGAGCTCTCATGCAAACACATTAGATGTTGTGGATATACAGTTTAAAGTGTGCATTTTCACAAGTGTGGATCGTGAAGCCGACTGTATTTGCTTTTTTTACCATTACAAAATATCCATTCAAAACCTAATAATATCTACTAATAGCTAACAAATTTAATATCTTCTCTACTGATGTTTTCAGTGTTGTGTGGCAGTGTAGTGAGTAAGAGTGACATGGTGGTATTGTTGTGCCGTTGTGGCGCCTGAATGGGTCATAGATCTTACAGACATTTTGACAGCAGGAAACTACACCTGCACCGCACCATTGTGCCCCCCAATACTGACACACATACGTACACACGCACACACACTCAGCATATTGCACACGCACATGTACCACACAAACTCCGAAGCAGGCTACTCCCCCTTGCACGTGTCCACAGCCCCATGTTGATACCCTAGCTGTTAAATTGCTCCGTTTCACTTGAAGGCATAATTGGCACAAATTGCTCTCTAGGTGATACAGATCCTGTTGTTTAAGACCAAGCATCCCCCTTCTCTCCTCCTTTCTTCCCTCACTGAAAGAGGAACACCGAGATAAAGAAGCTTCCCCGTGTATGATCCTAATTAGCTGACGCACTAGCCCCTGTAGCTAAGCACCTAGACCTTTTTGGTACCTGAATGAAGGGTGCTCAGTAGGGGTAGCTAAAACACAATGGCGTCCCACACAATGGCTGCCAACCAGAGGCAACCTCCCGCTCAACTGCGTGTCAAACCATCCCAGCCCCCTACCTCAGAGCAGGGGCATGGGCAGAGAGGCCAAGGAGGGTAGGTGTCCCTCTTTCACCAAACCAGCTCTATCATTAGCCCCAGCGGGGTCAGGAGGCGCCATTGTTGGGCTGAATAACTGAAATAGAGTACATGGATGTATTTGGCGCAAGTGTAATCAACACGAGTGTGTATTACTGTTCTTTATGCAGGGCTATTGGCGTGTGACCAATCTATGTGTATCAGCTTTTGTAGCCTGCAGGTCGAATTGACAACTGACATAGCAGCCCACTGTGACTCACTACAGAGTGGTCATTATAATGGTGGGGCATTCTGGGGGACCTGTGTAAAAAGATGGGGTTAACATTCCTATTGGCCATCCTATAAGCACATGGTGGGCTCAGCAGTAATCCATCCCTTGACTGTTGCTAAATGTTGCTCTGATGGTACTGTATGGCCTTTGTCAGTAGTGCACATCTTACCCCTGATTAAACACCAAAATGCTGTTCCCTGTTAATTTTAGATATCAGCCCATTAATTCCCCCCCTCCTTCTCACTTATCGTCTTTGTTGTGTGTATGTTTGTGCATATGCACCTCTCATCTGACTGTTTGTCTGTCTGTCTCGGCACAATCAGATCCTCGGGGAGCTGACAGAGAACCAGTCATGTTGTAATTTAATCAACCAAATAAATTAATTGGATCTCTTGATATGGATCATCTGTCTGCTTCAGTGGCTCCAGAAAAGCACAGTCAGGAGGAACATGCTGCAGTCATAGAGGATTAAGCTACTGCGGTGAAAGGCTTGGCCCAGTTTTATCAAAATGGTTTCAATTACAGTTTACATGTCCTAAGTAACCCCTTTGTGTTCTCTTTCTGGTTGTCTCCTCCACTACATCCACTCTCTCCTCTGTCCTGTGCTCTTTACAGTACCATGCTCAAGTCCTACTCTGCGTTGCTGAAGTCACTTCAAGAGGTCATAAAGAGAGAGGGCTTTGAAGTAGCAGCCCCCATGGTAAGAACCAGAAGTAAATGACTGCTTTTCTCTCCTTGCTTATCTCCAATTTGTCGAACCTTTTTTTTTATTTTAATTTTATTTTTTTTAAGATATTTTTGGGGCATTTTTTAGCCTTTATTTGATAGGACAGACAAGCGTGAAGGGGGGAGAGAGAGGGAGTGACATGCAGCAAAGGGCCACAGGCTGGAGTCGAACCCGGGCCGCTGCAGCAACAGCCTTGTACATGGGGCGCCTGCTCTATCACTAAGCCACCGATGCCCCAATTTGTCAAACCTTTTTAAGCAAATCAACACATCCTTTCACAGCAATCACACTTGGACTATATGTGTTTACATTTGCAACTAGAGATGTTCCTATAAAAAAATGTTTTCTACCAGTACTGATTTCAGTACCTGAACTTGCATAACGGCTGATACCGAGTACAGATTCAATACCGTAGTGTTAAAAAAAATGAACAGCTGTATACTACTGACCCTGTATGGCTGTGAAAGCATTGTTATCACTGTTGTATTGCATGGCTCAAGTTTAACCCTTCGTAAACATGACAAAATATTGGCAAATTGCAAATCAGCGGCAGATGCCAGTGCCTGCACAGTGCAACTTGCTGTGTAGGCTACAAGGAATTGATTTGTGGGAAACCTGCCATTTTATGCGGGTGTGAAACTACTTTAAAGTTTATTAATAAAGTTGGTATCTGATCAGTGCATAGACTCTGATTGCAACTAAAATGGCGGGCAAATCTGTTCTCATCACCCATTTAACTAGTAGAGTTAGAGTGGAGTGTTGAAAATGCCATCAGTTTTTTTTATTGATTTGACTCAATATTAGTAACAGAGTGTCCCAGTGTTTGTGGATTTGTTTTTCGTTCTGGCTCTCTATTTGACAAAAATGCAGTAGGCATGTAGTAAGCTGCCGCAAGCGGTGATGCAACACAAAAGGCAGGTGTGCATTTTTCCTTTTCATTCACCAAATGTCATTAGAGGTGAACTCTTTGACTGGCTAGTGCTTACGTGTTTGTGTTGCAAAATGTGTGCTTGTAGCCCCACTCATGAGCCCAGACAAACAATTGTGCTTTTAAATATTTATGTGTGATATGCATCAGAGGAGCATTTTTAAAAGAGCGATACTAGCTCGGCATCTGTGACCCCAAGCTCTTCTGTCACATTCCAACCACCACTTCTCTGGAGTCTCTTCACCTCTCTGTCACCTGCTCGGGCTGGCCTCACCTGTGTGTCCCAGCTGTGTGTGTCTTACCTTTGACACACATCTTTTTAATAATCATCGGCCCTCTACAGAATGCCAGAAACATCCATGGCCGCGTCTGTTTCCCACAGGACCTGGTGTAATCCTCTTAACACTGTGATGTGCCTGTATATATGTATATATACAGTGTAGGTGTGTGTGTGCGCGTGTGTGTGTGTCTGTGTGTGTCTGTGTGCGTGCACCTCCCGCGCCTTATTCACCTACTTTCGTTGACCCCTCTGCTCGTCACCTGGAGCCACCTCTCCCCCTGTCAGTCACACACAGGATTTACCTCCAGTACCCCCCACCCTCCCTCCCCAAGCGCTGTCACTCACACGCCAGATTAACTGCTGACATCATTAAAGCAGTGTGGCCGCCTGACATGCTGTTGGCACAGTCCAGGAATGCAGACCGGCACAGAGCGGCATGGGCACTGGCACAAGAATGCCCAGTATGGGTGATAGTCAGTGTGCGCGCATTTATATGTTTATTTGTTCACCTGCCATCATGCACTGTCAACATGATGCAGATTTCATATAAACTGTGTTATGTAAATAACCGATTAGAACAAGGATTAATCCCCCAAAGCTTATTTTTTTGAAGTCCTCTAAGATGAGTGGGACAGGGGTAGCAGCAGGACTATGAGTCTCTGCAGAGATTGGCTGGTGATTAGGTTGTGGTCCCAGGCTGGCTGTAGTCTATATGGCTGGCCTCGGGTCCTTGGCTGGACTCAACTGGCACTGTTCCCTGATTTTTCTATAGGCTAAACTATAGGAGTTAAGTTTGGCCTCTCTTCTTGATGCCACAGCAACAGTCGTGTTCCCCCCTGCTGGGCTGCAGACATAGAAAGAGAATTCTAATTCTGTGGCCCCCAAGACCTGCGTAGGCAAAGCCTGTTAAACAAAGAAAGGGCATATCTAATAATGACAAAGGCACACACAAACACACAACACTAATACACAAATATAAGGTATAGAGATGCAGCACTGATGGTGAATGCTGTAGAGGAGGATGGATGTATAGTCCAGTGTGAGAGTTGTCCTTTGGGAAACTATGAGCCAACTGTGAAAAACTCCCAGAAACAATGGGGTTTATTTTTCTTAGATGCCTGTGATTCTGATCCAGGTCCAAACGAAGCTTAGGTCATACTATTGGGAGAGGAAACGATGGGGAGTGGGGTAGAGGAGATTTTGGGAGGGTTGAGATAATGGAGGGGGAGGGATAAATGGGAGGAAAGGTTGGGGGGGGGGGGAGGAAAAAGTGAGCAGATTTTAGGCCAGAGCTTTGTTAATCACTCTTGGCTCTCACCTCAGTAATCAGGAGCCATCCTGAAGAAACCCCAAATAAAAGGCAATTGTAGTAAAGGTTAAAAACCTCTCACAGCTCGGACAGGCTCCTCCATTCTCTCACTTTGAGTGATATATATCCCACCACTGTTTGGCCACTTTTTCGTCATGAGAGTGGGTTACTGTTGATCTCTTGTGGTGGGGAGGTGGGGAGGGGGGTTTCAAGGGAAGGCACTCCACCCTTACCCAGGCCCCCTTGGCTGCAGAGCATCACTGTTGTGCCAAGAATGTGCTGGGGTTTCTGGGTGGCGGCCATATTGGAAGCCTGTCTGACAGGTCCATTGTGCGTGTGTCAGATGGCCTCTGTGATTGGGCAGTTGTGTCCAGTCACGTTTGGGCACTGTGTTCCGATCGTCTGTGCTGGTGAGCAGACTGTCCAGTCGCTCTCTCCCAGAGTTTGGGAATACTTCCCAAAACAATCCAAAAGCAGCAATTTGTTAATCTTCAGATGCACCGGAAGAACTTAAAATCAAATAAAACTGTGTTACTGCGTTAGTATGTGTGTGTATGTTTATATGAACTTTTTGTACACATTTTCTTTTAAGTATTTCTAAACCCCTTCTTCGTGCTTGTTCTCTCTTATAGTCAAAGTCACGTAACATCCTGCGAATTGGGCTCCACTCTCTTGGCTCAGCTCTGTGGGGTGATGACCTGTGTTGCCGTGACAACCCTAGAAATGGCCACGCCCTCACTACCTTTCTCTATGGACTGCGTGCTTTACTGAGGTCATCGCTGTCAGTCGCAGTAGTTACTGTGCCTTCACATCTCATCCAGGTAAGGGAGTTTTTGACACGAGAACAATGCGGCACAATTAATAAACATCAGAATACAGCTTATATTATTTGTTTATACTTGCTGACCTAATTTAAAACATATATATATACACTTTTTACACAAGTTTTAAGTAGTCGAGAACAGTTTATGAGTTTCTGAGATGAGGTTATACTGCACCAATACCATGACATGGACAGTTTGCAAATCATAACTACAGTGGGTTCTGCTTCATTCTTCTTCACCTCTTTGTCTTTGCTCCTCTGTTGTGTCCTAAACCACTTACCTTAAATTGCCACTGGAGGGATAAATTGCATGCCTAAGTTGAATTGGCTTGAATTTACAGATAATAGACAGTTAGGATTTTTGGTGAGTGGGTTGATGTTTGGCCCATGTGCTCCTTCTTTGTCTTGTTCATTAATGGGGAACAAAGTTTGAGGTCTTTTGTAGTGGGGCCTCCTCTTGACCCTGTGGTCCAGTGTCACCCTGGTATGACTCAGGCCTGCGCGGGGGCCTCTTCCTCACGCATCGCTCCCCCAACAGACCCAGTCGAGTGCACACTTCATTCAAAGGCCTCTAAGTCTGTTTGTTTGTTTGGGCTTTTAATTACTTGAAGCTGTACACAATGAGAGTGTGTGCCTGTGTATGCATTTTATTCTCTTACAAATATCCCTTCATGTAGTTGTGTGTCTCTGGCTGTGTTGGTGTGTGTATGTGTGTGTTTGGGGTGGGGGGAGTGTATGAGTCCGCGTGCATGCGTCTGTGTACAGTCTGGCCTCTCAGTGTGAAGGTGGAGTCATCTGCTGAGGCATATGGCAAACCACAGCCCTCCCCCAGACAGTCGACTATAGAAGCACACTCAGAAAAGCCATCTGAGACTTTCTACTAAAATGTTTTATCTCGCTTACACTTAAAACATCCTACTTCCATATAGTCCTCATTCACAAAAGCGTGGAAGCCGCATGGTCTCTGATCCTTTTTACAAAGATATAGGTCAGTGCTTAACTTTCAGAACAGCTGTGTTGTCACAACATGCTCTGGCTCCAAGCCTATATACTCAGTGCACAGCGGCCTTGGCCTAGTCAAAAAAGGTAGAGTGGCTAACTAGCAGATGTCAGCTGTGGTGGGAGCAGTCCCCCTGTCCTTCTCTGGCCTGGCCTCCAAACCCTTAATCTGTCCCCTCCTCCTTCTCCACCCTGGGGAGCGAAGTGAATGAGCGGGGGAAGAAAAGAAGAGGGGGGAAATTTTGGACTGAATCAGGTGTTGGGTGACGAAGCCAACATGGAGGTAATGAGAGGCTGTTAAGATGGGCATCTATGAAATGACCTTGTGATTAGTTTAATCACACTTGGTGTTGTTGTCATGAAAAAGATTCTAATTGATCAGCTGAGGTCACCAAGGTGTGCATGCTGCTCATTTTAAATTAATAACAACAGTGCGGCCGGTATATTAAGAACGGACATGTTAGCGGAGCCTCTTTCTGCCAGCGCCTTTGCTTAGATAATTAGCTTAGTTAACTGAATGTGGCCTTTGGAAGACTGTCTAGACTAGTAGCAGTGGGCTAGCTGGCTGAGACCATACTGGACTCTCCATCCATTATTGAGCACCTTGGGAAGTTGAGCAACTCACTGAAAGCCTCCTCACAGCAGCCCAGTGCCACAGTCCATCTGAAACATTAATTAGGCTTGTCCTAGCTCCGTCCTCCTCCATCATACTATCTCCTGTCACCATACACATCCCAACATGTAAACACACACAAACACAAATTACACAGTCCTCCCTAAAATTTAACCATATACACCTCACCTGCTGCTCAGACTAAGTGGTGTCCTGACCTATGCAAATATTTAGACTCAGGGTTTGTGCTGGTCAGGCAGAGTTAGCATGGTAGTGGGCCTACAACACTTCCACTTCTTTTAAATACTCTACTGAAATATACCATCAATATCCAATTGACTTTCTGTTTACTTTTATTCATTTCAGTTTAGAGTGTAAAATGATCATTTACATTATCAATTAATCTTCAGATTCTTTTATTGATTAATCAGTTAATCTCACACCTGCTTTCTTCAGTTTATTTTCTTCCTTGGTGCAGTTTGTTTGAGCAGGTGTGAATGCAGTAATCACTGCAATCATATGAGAGAGGAGGTGGTCTTGGTCTGGTCCCAAATGAGCTCTGGAGCAGTTTGTTTGTGGGATCGTGGTGTGACCTCAGTCTGACCCAACCACCAGGTGTACTCTGCAAGTTTGAGCTTAAATGGCTCCTGTAGCCAGGTGTGCTTTGCATTCTAGGATGCGGCAGAGCATGCTAACTGTAGCTGCTTCTGTGGTAGCAGTAGCTCCCTTGTTTGTTAGTCGTCTGAAGGCAGCACATCTTCTGTGCAAAGTGTGAAGCAGTGTAGTGTTTTCAAGATGTTTCATTGAAATGCATTTGGCATTCTGCTGGTATAGTTTCCCTGGTATATTGCCCAGATAATTACCATGGTTATGAGCAAATGCCAACTTCATGTTTAATTTCATAGCAATGTTTTTCTCATTAACAGAGGTAAGTGCACGACTCCAGAACACAAGAGCTTCTTCCTGTATTTACTGTCTTGCTCCCACCTCAGACGCATCTGACCATGTGATTTTTCTCTGTATGAAAAGAAACAGAACCAAGGGTAAAGCACTCTAAGTTGGTAAAACTCATCAACAGATTTGGACCAGAGCAAACAAATAATAGGTGTGCAAATGCCATAAGTTTACGAAATATCCAAAAAGTTTGATGTGCATCAGTCCAAAACCCAAAGATATTTCATTTACTTTCACACATAACAAAGATAAGCAGCAAATCCTTTCATTTGTAAAGCCAAATCAAATGTTGGTGGCATGGTATTTTGTTTAAAATATTATTAAAATGATTAATCAGTCATAACATGAAATACAAATTTGAACGGCATTTTATAAAATCAAATTATTAAATTAAATTCCTAAATACTAGGTAGACCTTATTGGCTAATTAGCTAATGTAACTGAGTGGCTGTTAATTTCAATTTACCAACAGTACTTTTTTCTTAATACGTCTTTTAATATTATGAATTGTGAAATAGATTTTAAACCAGGTTTTAAACCAAGGCATATAACCATATAATCATGTTGGTAAATAACTGTCGTATCAGTTAGATGTTTTTAATGGAGAAACTGTGCCTGTGTTCCTATTTGAAATCACATTTTTAGAGAAACTCGTGTGTCTATTTCTAGCCTCGGAAGTGATGTGCATATATTTTGTCTCATATATAGACTCTACTCTCCCAAGACGTTAGACAGACTGAAAGGCATCTGCCTCCCTCAGAGTTATGTATTGAATTTTGGGTATATTCTGCACATAGCCTACACACATTTTCAAGTAAGAACACACAAGTACAGACAGCCATACAGCCGAACAAAACCAACTGAGCCTAACAACTGTGATAAAATTGGGGTTCATCAGTGACTGGTTACATGAAAGAACTGTGGTTTACTTAGTCAGGTTAAAATACTGCATGTGAAATGAACGCTGGGCTCTCCCTATGACCTGTCAGTGAGTGACTGTCAGCTGTGGCTCAGGGTGTTCGTGGGATTTACACTGATGGAATCTGAGCTAATTAAGCCAGCATAGACTTTCACTGCTGAACTCAAGCGACTCCTGTTTGAGCCCTTCATCTATTATAAATAAGATTAAAAAAGAAAGATGTCCACCTCCTAAAACTCGAGGAGCTGTGGAGCACGTGCTTGTCTTACTGACGTCATTCCGCCCTTCTGCCACTGTACTGAGCAGCTCTGTGTGGACACTTTGGATTCCTCTGACTTTGAAACTTCTGAGCGTTTGCCAAAGAGACTCATCTTTGTATTTAAGTAAGCACAGAAGAATTATTATGGCCTAATAGACTAGCACAGATAAAGTTTTAGCAGACTCTCTCACTCGCACAGACACTATTGGCCTTACTGTACCATTAGTGTTGTGAATAATTTGTTGTAGCCTAACTCTTACACTGGGTTTAATTGCTGCTTTTCAGTGACCTCAGATACCCTGTAAGTGCTGGTGGTCCTGACTGGTGGGATATGCATACTTTAAAAGTAGGACAAAAATGAAAAGGAAGAAGAAAGAGTGGGGAAAAGACATGAAGGCATGAAAACTGCATTAGGCGGTGGCAGCCAACACAGAGAGAACGATGTGAATGATTCAAGAGGCAAAGGGATTAATAATGCAGGACTCCCTCTTTCCCTCCATCCCAGTGTCCCTCTCTCTCCCCCCTCCTCTCCCTTTACCCTCTGCCTCCACCCTTTTGTATACTTCGCCTTCATTCTTGCTATCTACTGTATTCGCCCCTGATGTGTCCTCTTTGTTGTCAAGTCACTGACCTAACCAGTAGGGGGAGCTCTCCCCATCGAGCCTCTGCTGCTCTCTCCCTTTTCACCTCTATCCTCCCCTGCTGTGTGCAGGTTTGAGAGTGTGCACCAACTGGGAGCCTTTTTGTAAAAGTTGTTTCAAATATTTTCAGTGTGTTGCCATTGACTTTTCCCAAGCCGCCCTTTTTAGATGTATGCCTGATGTAAATTGTATGTCCATTTGCTTGCCCTGACATCACCTGTGTAACCCCTATCAGGGCTCTTTCCCCTCTATACCTCATCACCCTCACCTAAGCCATGGGCAGAAATGACCTGGCCACGGGACATGATGACCTAATTTAATTGCAACACTGATGGCCCGTCAGGAGGCTTTTAATTACCTGCTCATGTTTCTCTCTCTGTCTCTCCCTCCCTCTCTCTCCCTCTCTGGACCCTACAGGACAGAGCTCTAATGGGCAGCATAACCAGGCTATGTGACAATGCCATAGCCCTGGAATCATTCAAAGGCTCTGAGAGAGAGACCAACCCACTCTACAAAGATTACCATGGTAAGAACACACACACTCGCTTATCTTTCTGTCTCTTTTCCATCAAATATACACACATATACACACAAGCAGTGCATTAAGGCTGGGGCTGGGCTGTGGATGGAGGCAGGGCAGCCCCCTTGCAGGCCAGGCTGTCAGTGCGTGTTAGTGTGCTGCTGCTCAATCAGACGTGCTCCTCAGTAGACAGGCCGGGGGGGATTCAGCTGCCACGCTGTACCCCCTCTCCCTCGCACCCTCACCCCCTCCATCCCTGCCTCCCCCCCTCCAGCAGAGCCTCTCTCCCTTCTCTCCCTCTCGCCTCGCCCCCTCTCCATCCCCAGTCCCATACCCCTGAGGCTCTGGAGCAGAGCAGACCAACACTGGGGAATCGATATTCTCACCATCACTCTCTCTTCCTCTCTGCCTCTATCTCTCCATCCCTCGCTCAATGTCTCCATGGCCAGCATGCTCTGCTAATAAATGGAGGGCAAGGCTTTCAGTAGGAGAAGAGGACACCAGTAAGGGACGGTCGGAGAGACGGAAATGAAGAAGGAGGTGGGGAGTGGGGACACAGTTTGTCTCTGCTCTTGGTCCTCACCATCACTTTTCCTCTATGGTTTTATCATTCGTTCTTTGTCCCGTTTGCCTCCCGTTTTTCTATCACACTCTTCACGCATAAAGGTCAGTTTAAGCGAGTGGGGTATTTTTAGCCGTGCCTCTCGAACTCTCCAACTCACTCTTGCGCTTTTCCTCTCATTTCCCCCCTCCCTCCTCCCCTCCTCGGGTTAGACAGCTCTGGTTGTGACAGATGAAGGGATAAGGAGTAAAAACATTCAATGGCATATTTTGGTTTCATCTAACAGCATGTTTTATTTAGATAACACATCCCATAGTGATCACATTCCTCTGCATTGTAAAGGTGGGTGGCATGTAAAGCCATTCAACATATGAGCGTAGTGCATCATTTTTTAAAATAATTTTGTAGTACAGAAATGTTCTTTGGAATTTGCAATTAATATTATTTGAATTTCTTGTTCACAAATGTATTTGCCCTCTTGTTTAACCAGCCAGAGAGATTCTGGTTGGGTTATGAAATACATTTATGTGCATGATTGTTGTGATGTGTGGTCATGAGTGCAAACGCATCTGGTACGAGTGTGAGAGTGCGTGAGAGTGCGTGCGGATGCGCGTGCGTGCGTGTTTGCGGCAGCAGTTCAGGGCTGCTCAAAGCATGCTGGGAAGCCTGTCACTGCAAATCAGGCAAGGGGAAATCACCCAAGTGCACAGAGGAGAGAAACCACCATCCCCCACTTTCTCTGTCCGTCTCCCTTTCTCCATTTCTCCCTCGATCTCTTCTTTTCTCTCTCACGCTAATCCATACCACCCCACTTCTACAGTACTTTTCCAGTTTTATGAAAATGTAACTTCGCGGTGACAGGACAAGAAAAACGAAGAGTTAAAAAAATACTCCAAAGCTTCCTTCTATCCTTGCAGGAGTCCTGTGCCTGCATGTCTGCGTTCTGTCCCTCATTGCTGTAATGTCTCTTTTAATTGGTAAATTTCCTTTACAGTAAACCCATGCTCTAGCCTGTAGGGAAAAAAGAAGAGAGTAGGAATGCTGCTATAGCAATCTTTATGGTTATTTGATAAGAAGCCTTTTTTTGTATTATTTCACTGCAATACTACCATGTTTTTAGTTTTTGTCAGTGGAGTTTACCTACTGTAACTGTGCTGCGGTTGTAGATGTCTGGAAAGTACTGGTTTGCAAAAGCCTGTCCCACTACAGTCACTCCATTCTCTCAAGTAGACAGGCACACTTTGTGCTTCAGATCAAATAAGGACAAACATAACATTGCGTTTTGTGCAGAGTTTTTTCATGCCTGCATCAAATAAAAACAACATTTACCTTCGGTGGTCACAAAAGTTGTTTGAAAAAAGGAGGATACTGTTTTGTAACTTTTTTTTTTTTTTTTTTTTTTTTGGCAGTTGCCCCAGTTAGATAGAAATTTCCTGTTATTAAAACAACAAACAAGTCATCTGTACAGTGCCCTCCTGAATTGTTGGCACCCTGAGCAAAACGGGCTGTGAAAAAATGTCTTTGCTGCTTATCCTCTTTGTCTTTAACTCAAAATACTCAAAAATTTTTACCTTTTCAGTGAAGTGCCACAGTTATTGGCACCCACAGAAAATCCTGTGATTAAAATCTAGTATAAGTAAATCTAGTAAGTATATTATCAATCATATTTTACAATTTTAGGTTTACCTGTTTGAACAGAAATTCTTAATTGGTCAACCATGACTTCCTGTTTCACTGGGGTGTAAATATGAGGGGACACAGGCCATTTTCCCTTTGTCATTCATCACTATAGGAAAGAGTGAAGAACACAGTGACGATATGTGACGAAAAGTTGTTGAGCTGCACCAATCAGAAAATGGATATAAAAAAATCTCTGAACAGTCAAAAATACTAATTTACACTATTAGGGGAACAATTAAGAAGTTTAAAGCGACAGGAGATGTTAAGAATCAGCCTGGAAGAGAATGTTTTTGTACAGTTTAAAATTACAGGGACAGTGCACATTATTAAACATTGTTGTAAATGTACCAGTTTAGCCAGTTTTGCTCATTTTTAACTCTAGTCCCTGGCCAGGTGTGAGGGCAACTACGAAACACACACACAATACATTAAAACAGGAACAGCAGTAATGTACATATAGTGTGTTCACTGACTCCACACACCATGAGGAGGATGGTCTCACTGGCAAAAAAAATCTACAAGGATCCCAGCTGTAGAATTGAAGAGCTAAACTGAGTCTTGGGATCAGAAAGTCTCCAAAACTACATTAGACGAGATGCCAACAAGTTGTTTGGAAGGGGGCAGAAAAAAAGTCACTGCTGTCAATCAATAACAAACTTAAGTTTGCTAAACGTTACTGGAACTTTCAGTGGGACTGGGTTACATGGTCAGATGAGAGCAAACCCACATAGAAAATCAGTGGGATGAGCTGAAGAGGAAAGTGTTGACCTCACAATCAGAAGGATCTGTACAGATTCTGTATGAAGGATCCCGTTCCATGTGTTCACCAACTTCATTAAACCTTATAGGAGAAGACTCAAAGCTGTTATCTTGGCAAATGCAGGCTGCTCAAAAAATTAGATGAAGGGGTGCCTGTAATTACAGCAGACTTTTTTTTTTTTTTTGGAGAAAAGTATTGGTTTCATGACAAGAACTTTTTTTCAGTTGTGTTAATCCAGTTAAAGGTTATATATTTGTGAATATCTTGAATGAAAGATCATGACAGTAAACAATAAAGACATTTTTTTGGCATTTCCTTTTGCTCGTTTTTACTCAAGTGTACCATGAGTAAACTTTTATAAGTTGCATTATTTTAACAAGATTTGTCTAGGTTGTACTTTATTGACATGGTTTAACTTAAAACATGCACAATGTGAATAGGTCTGAAATAGGGCTGCAGCTAACGTTTATTTTCATGATCAGTTATTTTGCCAATTATTCTTGATTCATCGTTTTGTCAAGTAAATGTCGGAAAATAGTTAAAAAATACCCTGTGTAATTTCTCAGAGCCGAAGGTGATGTCTTATCAGCAGCTCTAGACTGTAATAACTTGCTTCCTTTTACTGTGCTTTTTAAGGACTCTTTAGCCCATTCAATTTTAATCTGCTCTCACTGCCCTTCACAGGTCTGCTACATGTACGCCAAGTACCTCACCTAAACTGTCTGGCGAGTAAACTCCCTGACCACAAGGACCTGGCCTTCAAGCTAAAGAGAAAACAGTTCAGTATTGAGGTAAGTTGTCAAGGTTACTTAGCATAGCCAGAGTTTCCTGATAAACAAAACATAGTGTTAGGGGTTCTAACCTTGTGTGTTATTTTTAATGCTGCCTCTCAATCAAAGGCAGATTTTTTTTTTTTTTTTTTCATTTGTTTCCCCAATTTTATTCATCCAATATGTTTTTAGTAACTTGCCATTTAGAAGTAAAGTAATTGTCTATTAAGTCACATTCTTTCCCATTCATTGTGTTCATAGCAGTGCTGAAATGAAGTGCTGATGATAATGAGAAGTCTCTCACATTAGCCGAGTTCTGCCAACCTGTTTTTACTATTGGGTGTCAAAATCAAAGGTGAAGCTATTGATTATTCACTGTTGCTGCCACACTTACTGCAGTGTGGTGTCAAGAGGCAACAGAGTGAAAAAAATCTCTATCTATATGCACAAATATGTAGTTCAAAAACAGTAATGGCAGTTTAAGTTAAAGGTGCCGTTCACATTTTTCTATATACTAAAGGAGTATTAATTAATTACCATTCAAAACACTGATGCATGGACATGTTTGATTTTACAGAAATATCATGAATTTAAAAAAAATCTTAATACTAAAATAATAAAAGCATTAAGAATCAGCTATCAGTAGCTTCAGTCAGATGTCCTACCAGCCCATCCATGACACTATCAGAAACAGTTTAAGCCACAGTAGCTCTCAAGGGAACAAGCTATGTACGTTAGGTGCTGTGTACTATATCTGGCAGGTCAGTGTTCATTCACTCCCTAGTTGGCAGCAGCCATGACCTGGTGAGAAAAAGGAGCAGTGGACCGCAGCTTTCCCTTGCACTGTAGCCTGTACACTTATTTGAATGTGATCAAAAGCATTTGCAGGTTGAAAATATCCTTCCACAAGCAGTTATTAATATTTTGACTCTGCAAACATTGCTGAAGGATAGCAATAGGAGGGGGTGAGGACATACAAACCATATTATATCAGCAAGATAAACTTAAAATCTCTTACTCACTTGATGACAAAGGATGCCTGGCAAATCTTCATCTACATTGCATTGATTTTGTAGCTGCTAAAAAATTAAACAGAGAAAAAAAGAGCTGTCAACTAGTTAAGCAGCAACAAGGTGGTCACTCTTTGAAAAACACCGCTCAGCCTGTGAGATGATGATGTTGCATGCCTCATCCGTAACTGGTATTGGTGACTCTTCTGCCCAGCCAGCATTTCAGTTTGCTGTAATATTTGCTCTTATATATTCCCTTTGAACCGAACAAGAGCCTCTGCTGACTCCAGCTGCCTTGATAACAGCTGGGGGTGTCCTTTGTGTTGCCTCTGCGAGAGCTGCAGCTGGTTTTGGGGACCTTGGAGAAGAAGGTGGCTGAGGTGGTTAGGTCACCCTCAAGAGAAAAAAAACACCCTCAAAATGGTCATTCATGGTTAGATTGAGCTCTAGTGCATAGCAGTACACAAAATGTTCATTTGGATGGGTTTCCTTCATCAAGGTCTGTAGACATTCCTGTTCATCATGGCGGCACAGTCATATGTTTGTGCGATTAGCATGTCCTTTAACTTCCATACAACTCTGACGGTGCTGACAGATCCAAAGCGGCTCTATCCTCTACTTCTATAATCTTAAACAAAACTTTTCTCACTGTATTGTTTGGCAGTATGTATCTAGATACAAGCACCAGCTGGGATTTGTGTAATACATCAGTCGTTTCATCAGCATGCACAGCAGCAGACACTATCTCAGCCACTGGCATAGCAAGGTTCTCCCTGTACACATGTATGTACAGTTTGCTCTGAATCATGCTAGAGGTCCCTTTAAAACTGGCTGATAATCATAATCCCTCTGGAGCCTTGAGTTGCCCTCACACATTGTTTCAAATATGCATTGGAAAATTTTGGGGGTTCAAACAATCTGCACGTAGCGCCATTTTACATTATTCTACACAGTTTAATAAAGGTAAGCACATACCTGTTCTCTTCAGCTTGCTAGTTATGCTGCTCAATTTCCTGTTTGTATAACCTGTCAGTCTTGGTAGCTATAATTGTTCTGCTTTGCAAGCCCAAATTTACAGCGTTGTTTAGATGACTGGTGCTGCTGTCATATTTGGTTGTCCTCTTGTGCCCCTGCAGAAAGAAAAATACTAACACTTAGTAAGATCAGGCTTTTGTGTTTAGTTACAATCGGCATTCACTCCCCAGACAAATGACTCTGCAGTAGTCATGGGTATGTATCGGCTCCAGCTCTGATTGGCTTCAATTGGCAGTAATGGAAACACGACACACGGATGGACGTGATAATTTTTGCCCCATTTCCAGCATCATGAAATGTTGTTCTGCCACGAATTCCATCCGTCTCTGTCCATCATGCTCTAACAACATTCCACTAAGTTTAAAAGAGAGCATGAAAACGTAACAGCTACAAAACAGAAATCACCACCTTTACAATTTCCCTGGCCTCCATGCTGCTTTCTACTGTTTACTAACCCTGTTTTCCTGTGCGTTCGTCTAGTCATATGAAAACAGAAGGGCATACTTGTCTACTGTAGAGCCGTGTACATGGCTGTAGTCTGCTGGCAAAGAAAAAGGAGTCTATTGCCTATTTTTAGCAGGTTTTCCCACATTTAAAAAAACCTGCATATACATGCTAATTTTGGTGGAGAAAGAGCATTGGAAAGATACTTGATATCCTGAGACCAGGTACCGTCCTATCCAAATAACATGCCCGAAAAGCAATAAAGCACCGTCTTTGACAAGCTAGCAACTGGCCACATTTTCCTGTAGAACCACTCCACATTAAATCTGCGATTATTAATTCCTACGTTAGTCAGTACCTCTAAAATGACACTGTTTTCTGCTGCCAGCAGGTGGGGCATTGCCCCAAACGCCCCAGCGACTCTAAATGAGATATCCAAAGGGCCTTTGCTGCGTCTTCTGAGTCACATTGGAGTGAGGACCGAGGGCGATTCTACGCAGAAAATGTCATCTTTTATAAGGGATGGTTAGAACTTTTTAAAATTTGCCTTATTGTTTAAAATCCTTCAATTAGCTTGACCATTTTGAGCCTGTATAGAATATAGGGCACACACATACAGCACAGGATTGTATAGCCTTTCCATTTCTTCATTCATTGTGATTTATGATTTCTTATCCTCTTTCTCTTTCTCTTCCCGTCAGAGACGCATCCATTTTGCATGTGTCACATCATCACTCTCACTCAGAGCAATCAATCTGTCACTGACCTACCACTCTAGAGACAAATTAAGGGGCCCTCCTCTTAGCTCAAGCTCATGATTGGTCCTCATTACATTATCATTACCTTATCACACCCTCTGGTCCTTGGCTCTTAGTGAGTCCTATTGTCTCAGGCAGGAGGTGAGGGGGAGGAGAGGAATGCCCACCCCCTCCCGAACCTTCTCCGCATCCTACGGTCAACCCCTTCTCATTTTCTGCCAGCCTTCACCATCCTCTCTAACCCTTTCTCCTGTCTGCAGTGGCCCGCTCCCCCTCCTTTCTCTGACCCCCTGAATGGGCCACTCCAGTATAGATTTATATGGTCCGTAAAAGTCAAGGTGGTTATCCTCAATGGTCTTTTAATTAGGCCTCTATATTGGGCAGGCCAGGGGGCAGAGGCCTAGAGCATCCCTGTAGCTCGGTGGGGCCTGGATACTGTGTCATATATCCCAGCAGCACATTGTAAAGACCAAGCTTTGTCTGCCTTCCTTGTTTAAGGAACTTTATTGGAGTTTTTGTTGTTGAATGGTAACCATACTCTTGTGCTGCCCTCATACACTTAGGATTAAAAGAAATCCAGTCCACAGAGGAGTTTTCAAATTTCTAAAATGGCTGCATTTGTTGACACAAGAGAGTACATAATATGAAATGTCAATCACAGTCCTTGGCCATGACACATTTTTATGTGTCAGGGAAATTCCCAGAGAACATTGTATCATATCACCAGTCATGCATCAAATCAATCAAAACACACATTGTAGTACGCAATTGTGTTCTCGTGTTGGGTTCTCTGGCACTCTTATTGGCTGTCATTATTTCTGTACATCACCTTAGATGGAGATGTCACGAAGGTATGAGTGCATGTTGGCTCTTTGTCAGTGGTTGCAGAGGCTGGTTTGTATCAGTGTACCTGTGTATACCTTTGCATGCAAGGCTACCGTTGCGCTCCGACTACGTGGCTCATCATACACTGTGTTTGACCTGTTGGTTAACTGCCTCGGTGGGCCACTGATTGACACATGAGATGGTGATTGGATTCTAAGCCCAGTGTCTGATGTGTGACAGCTCACACCATCCCTGCTAATCACCTCATTTACTCAAGCTACAGGACTCCTCTGCCTGGGGCAACATAATACAGCATTCTCCTACTGAGGTTTTTTTTCTGAAGTCCTCATAGTTTGTTTTTCTTACACACATCTATGGTGGTCGTGACAGATCACCTCTCCTGCTGCTTTGAACTTCTTTCAACTTTTGACTCCATATTTTAAATGCAGCAAATGCAGCTTCATTCTATTTATTATCTATCTGGATTGATTTGTGATTAGGTGGTGATGAGTGACAGGTGATTGACAGCGCTACCTTCTCACCGGTTCGGTCAGGCAGCTACATGTCACCCCAACTGTGCATGAAGTCATGCTGGTAACTAATTTCTTAACTGTTGTTTGACTCACACCTCTATCACCTAGTGCCTCAGGAACGCAGAAAAGTATTTGTTTGCCAGCACGTAGAGTGCAGATTTTGTCGATAAGGACGTGCTCTTGTATTCTGTTATTTGTGACACTTGATTTTTCCCAGTTTGATTGGTTTAGTACATTGATTTTCGTCCCTACATCATCGTCAAAGTTCTGTTTGTTCCGTGATAAGGTTTCCAAGACAATGGTCGACGTTTCCAAGAGTTCAAACTGCGGTTGATGAGCAGTTATTAGCCATGACGCCTGAAGCCAGAATTAACCCATGGCCCTGTCTGAGCAGGTAGGGGAGTGTTAGGTGTTTA